CAAGCATTTTACATCCACTCTGCTATTGAGGTCAAGGGCCCGTCACCACTACTCTTGTGTGTGCGAACCTTCCTGAGGTGATCATAGGGACGATCAATTACAGATCGCAGCAGGTTATTTTGAAGGCCGGTAAGCCCATCCATGGGAGTGTAGAAAATGTTCCGCAGCATCCCTTGCTCCCCGGTTAGGAATGAGGTGCTGAGATAAAAGAGGCCTCCGGGTTACTGGATCAAACGAGTTGCCCTGAACAAAGAAAGAAAGATTGAAACAAAATAAGGAACACTCCGGGAAGACACAGGAACGACACAGGGGTAAAACCAAACGAGTTTGATCAAGATTGGTACGGTCTCTCATACGTCACCTTAGTGAGATTACATCACTCCGCTCGTACATCATTCCACTCGGTGTTATCACGTAATCAATAAAATGCCGCTCATATTTCAGCACATTGGTGTAACACTCTTACCGCTTTAAGATGCACCTCTATTGCCGATCTCTCATACGTCACTCCGCTTGGTGTTATCATGGGAAAATAGACAGCCACTCATATCTCAACACACTCTTACTGCTTTAAGGTGCTCCTCTATTGCCGATCGCTCGTACGTCACTCCGCTCGGTGGTATCACGGGATCATAAAAGGCCGCTCACATAAAAACACTCTTACCGCTTTAACATGCTCTCACCGCTTTAAGGTGCTCCTCTATTGACGATCGCTCGTACGTCACTCCACTCGGTGTTATCACGGGATCGCGGAGAATGTCGAGCATGATGCGACACGACAGGTGCTCTGGTAGCTGGTGTGAGGAGGAGGGGAATGGGGATGGGTAAGGGGGGTGGTAGGAGAGAAGGGCAGGAGGGAAGAAACGGGTGCATGTCGAGCATGATGCGGCACGAGAGGTGCTCTGGTAGCTGGTTAGAGCACGAGGGAAGGAGACAGTAAACACATTTGGGTGAGAGGCTTGAAGCAGAGGGCACAAAGATCGCGGAGAATGGAGAGCATGATGCGACACGACAGGTGCTCTGGTAGCTGGTGGGAGTGAGGGGTGTTAAAACAGGGGGTAAGAAGCTTTAAGTTGGGGGCACAGGGATCGCGGAGAATGTCAAGCATGATGTGGCATGACAGGTGCTCTGGTAGCTGGTGGGAGGAAGGGGAAAGAAGAGGAGGGAAGCGAGAGGGGAAGGAAGGAAGAGAAGGAAGGGGAGGGTAGAGATGGGAGACGTAGAGAATGCCCAGTATGATGCGACACGACGGGTGCTCTGGTAGCTGGTGGGAGGAGTGTTTTGAGTCGACTCAAAACCGCGTGATATGAGCCGTGTTTTGAGTCGACTCAAAACCGCGTGATATGAGCCGTGTTTTGAGTCGACTAAAAAAAGAATGCCCAGTATGATGCGACACGACGGGTGCTCTGGTAGCTGGTGAGAAAAAGAAGGTGAGGCGAAGGGGGAAGAGGAGGCGAGGGAGGAGGTGGGTTAACATGAAATCACTGAGAATGATGCGGCATGATAGGTGCTCTGGTAGCTGGTGAGAAAAAGAAGGTGAGGCGAAGGGGGAAGAGGAGGCGAGGGAGGAGGTGGGTTAACATGAAATCACTGAGAATGATGCGGCATGATAGGTGCTCTGGTAGCTGGTGAAAGGGAGGAAGGAAGAGGGAGAGAAGGGAAGAGGGAAGAAGGGAACGAAGGGGTAGGGAGGGGAAGAGAAGAGGACACAGGTAGGGGGCGTGACGAGGGCCTGATGCGGGTGGGGGGGCTGCCGCAGGTGGGCGGGCTGAAGTGGGTGGGGGGGCTCAAGTGGGTGGGGGGGCTCAAGTGGGTGGGGGGGCTGAAGTGGGTGGGGGGGCTCAAGTGGGTGGGGGGGGTCATGTGGGTGGGGGGGCTGACGTGGGTGGGGGGGCTCAAGTGGGTGGGGGGGCTGACGTGGGCGGGGGGGCTGACGTGGGTGGGGGGGCTGACGTGGGTGGGGGGGCTCAAGTGGGTGGGGGGGCTGACGTGGGTGGGGGGGCTAACGTGGGTGGGGGGGCTGACGTGGGTGGGGGGGCTGACGTGGGTGGGGGGCTACAGGAGTATCCTCTCCAGGAGGGGGGGCTGCCGGGAGTATAGCGCGCCAGGGGTATCCTCTCGTGTAGAAAGTGTATATTTTAGACGTCTCAAAAATACACTTTCTACACGTGAGTATAGCGCGCCAGGAGTATCCTCTCGTGTAGAAAGTGTATTTTTTAGACGTCTAAAAAATACACTTTCTACACGTGAGTAAAGCGCGCCAGGAGTATCATCTGCCTGTGCCAGTCGGAACACATTGCTCCGCGCCTCAGATTTCTCGACGTGGGTTTGAAGCAGCAGAGAAGGGCACAGAGCAGCAGAGCAGCAGAGAAGCAGAGAAAATGCCAAGTGCCATACCTCACCAGGGGTATCCTCTGCTTGTGCCAGTCGGAACACATTCCTTAGCGCCTCTGATTTCTAAATGTACGACTGGAGCAGCAGATAGAAGCAGAGAGGGCAGGAGCAGGAGCAGAGAGAGAAGCACATAGGGCAGAGAAAGAAGCAAGCACCATACCTCTCCAGGAGTGTCCTCTGTCTGTGCCCGCTGAAACACGTTTCTTAGCGCCTCTGCTTTCTCAATGTACGTACGACTGGAGCAGCAGAGAGGCCGAGACAGCAGAGAAGCAGAGAGAAGCAGAGACAGCAGAAAGAGCAAGGCACCATACCTCGCCAGGAGTATCCTCTGCTTGTGCCAGCTGAAACACGCTGCTTAACACCTCTGCTTTCTCGATGTACGACTGGAGCAGCAAAGAGGCAGGGCAGGGAAAGCAGCAGAGAAAAATACAAAGCTCCCTACCTCGCCAGGGGTATCCTCTGCTTGTGCCAATGTGAACACGATGCTTAGCGCCTTTGCTTTCTCCATGTATGACTGGAGCAGCAGAGAAGCCGCCTCCTCCACTGCTGTAGCATCCTCTGCTGCATCCCGACCTGCAGGCCCTGCTGACGTGGCTTCTATTGCTGACGTGGCATCTATTGCTGATGTGGCATTGTCTGCTAGGATTTCTGTACAAGCCTCTCCGATATAATCACTCGTGCAACGCCCGTCCACTCTGTCCTCGTTATACTCACTCCTCTCTGCAGGCCGAAGCTGCACTGCTGCATTTGCACCCTCAGCTTCTGCTAATGTGCCTGCTAATCCATCATCTCCCCCTCCTCTTGCTCCACTTTCTCTTGGTTCTACTGCAGCTGCTGCTGCAACCGACGTCCCTTCCAAGACCGCCCCTTCGGCTCTTGATGCTCGTGTTGCTTCGCCTGCTGCTGCCGTTCCTGCTATTGCTGCTGCTGCTGCTAATGATGATGATTCTGCTGCTCCACCCACGTCAGGATACTCCCTGCCGTCTGCTGCTGTTGATGTTGATGCTGATGCTGATGATGGGGACACAATTTGCGTCTCAACGGTACCTGCTGCTGCTGCTGCTGCTGCTCCACCCACATCAGGATACTCCCTGCCGTGTGCTGCTGCTGCTGCTGATGCTGATGTTGATGCTGATGCTGATGATGGTGACACAATTTGTGTCTCAACTGTACCTGCTGCTGCTCCACCCACGTCAGGATACTCCCTGCCGTGTGCTGCTGTTGATGTTGATGCTGATGCTGATGATGGGGACACAATTTGCGTCTCAACGGTACCTGCTGCTCCTGCTACTGCTGCTGCTCCACCCACGTCAGGATACTCCCTGCCGTGTGCTGCTGCTGATGCTGATGCTGATGCTGATGCGGCAGCAGGATCCCTATCAGCAGCAGCAGTAGCAGCAGCAGCAGCAGCAGCAGCAGCAGCAGCAGCAGCAGCAGCAGCAGCAGCAGCAGCAGCAGCAGCAGCAGCAGCAGCAGCAGCAGCAGCAGCAGCAGCAGCAGCAGCAGCAGCAGCAGCAGCAGCAGCAGCAGGATTGGTGTGTGGCGCTGGGGAGGACATGGGACAGCAACAGCTGCCTGGGAACCCTTGAGAGAAACACCCGCCTCTTGGCATTTGTGGCGATAGCAGGCCCTGCTCCGCCCCTCCTGCTCCTCCTGAGCCTGCTGCTGCCGGTGCTGCCGTTGCCGCCATTGCTAGTGATGCTGATGCTGACGATGACTGTAACGGACGTGACTGTAACGAAGGAGACTGTGGAGGAGTGGAGGAGGGTGAAGAAGAGGAGGGGTCCTCCCTCAGAAGTGCCTCTAGGGTTTGAAGGGTGTCCTGCTGAATTGGAAGAGCTTTAGAACCTGGAGTTGAAAGGCAGGGAGAGAGGGAGAGGGAGAGAGGGAGCGCAAGAATAGTGCGTCCCTCAAGAGTGCCTCTAGGGTTTGAAGCGCATCCTGCTGGATTGGCAGAGCTTTAGAAGCTGAGGAAAAGAGGGAGAGAGGGTGGGAGTCTATTTTGAGGGGCCTCAAAAGGGAGGAGGGGTCGTCCCTCAGAAGTGCCTCGAGGGTTTGAAAGGCGTCCTGCTGGATTGGCAGAGCTTTAGAACATAGTAACGAGAGAGAGGGAGAGGGGGAAGAGGGGGAGAGGATGAGAGGGAAAAGGAGGAGGGGTCTTCCCTCAGTAGCGCCTCTAGGGTTTGAGAGGCATCTTGATGGATCGGCAGAGCTTTAGAACCTGGGAATGAGAAATCGGGTCCGAGAGAGGGAGACGGAGAGACGAAGAGAGTCAAATTTTGAGGTGCCTCAAATAGAGGAGTCCTCCCTGAGTAGCGCCTCTAGGGTTTGAAGCGCGTCCTGCTGGATTGGAAGAGGTTTAGACCCTGGGGGAGAGCGAGAGGGCGAAAGGGAGAGAGGGAGAGGAAGAGGGAGAAAGAGGGCGAGGGAGGGGGAGAAGAATGGGACTGAAGAGGATGTGGAGGGAAGGAGAAGAATGGGGAGGAAGTGAGAAGACCACAATCATCACCACCATCACCAACATAACCAGCACCAGCACAGCACCATGCTCATCACCTCTCACCACCTCTCACCACCTCTCACCACCTCTCATCACCTCTCATCACCTGTGATTGCAGCCATGTCTGCTTGCAATTTCTCCTTCAGCAGGTCCCCTAAGAAAGCCCTGAAACAGAAGCGCGTGTGGGGAGGAGGGTGCAAAGAGAGAGGAGCAGGTGCGTGGGGGGCTTTGGTTTGAGTCTGACAAATTCTGAGGTGCCTTTTGAGAATTCTCAAAAGTCAAACCAACAGTGCGTGGGGGGCTTTGGTTTGACAATTTCTGAGGCGCCTCGAATCTAACTGCTCCTTCTGTAGGTCCCCTAGGGAAACCCTGTCGCAGAATCACGTAATAAAAGCGGGAGAGGGTGCAAGGAGAAAAGCATGGTCATATATTTTTACAAACATATAGAGTAAATATATTGAAATGAAAAAAGGAACAAAGAGCAAATAAATGCATGTGAGTGAGCGTTTGTGCACACAGACGCTCCCCACTTTCGAAAGTGGCCATGTGTGCTTGCCTACTGTGGAAAACAGCGCTCCCCACTCACCTCAGCTGCTGCTGCTTTCTCTTTCGCATCGACGATTCCACCTCCCACTGCCGGTACCTAGGAGTTGCGACGAGAGGAAAGATAGAGTGCGAAGGAAAGGAAAGGTAGGGAGGAAAGGTAGGGAGGAGCGAACGAGGCATTGCTTTGAGGGGCATCGACAAGAGAATCCACCTCTCACTATTGGTACCTAGCGTGATAAGTTGATTTTTTAGTCGACTCAAAAATCGACTTATCACACAAGAGAATCCCTCATTATTGGTACCTAGCAGTTGCAATGGCAGAGAGGAAAGCAATGAGAGAGGAGAAAGGAGAAAGGAGACAGGAGACAGGAGAGGGAACGAAGCAAGTGAGAAATGGGCATGGCAGTGGGCATGGCAAGTGGCAGTGAGCACCCACCTGGCTGTAGCCATTGCATTCCACACGTCATCCAGGTCGGTGTTGCTACAGACAGGTGAACATCACCAGTGCCAGGATATGCCTGTCTGAAGCAGCACCCACCTGGCTGTAGCCATTGCATTCCACACGTCGTTCAGGTTCCCTCTGCTGCTGATCAAGACAGCAAGGTGTGGTGAAGCATCAAACAGAGCACCCGATGCATGCACGCCCCTCGCGGCCCTGCCTGCCTGCCCACCCACCCACCCACCCCACAATCAAGTCGCAGCAGCACCCACCCGGCAGTAGCCATGGCGTTCCACACGTCATTCAGGTTCCATCTGCTGCTGCCCAACACAGTGCAGCCGTTCTCTGGAAGAAGTGTGTCTGATGATACATACATGCATGCATGCATACATACATACATACATACATACATACATGCATGCATGCATACATACATACATACATACATGCATGCATGCATGCATACATACATGCATGCATGCATGCATGCATGCATGCATACATACATGCATGCATGCATTCATACATACATGCATGCATGCATGCATGCATACATACATACATACACACACACACACACACACACACACACACACACACACACACACACACACACATACATACATACATACATACATACATACATACATACATACATACATACATACATGCATGCATGCATGCATGCATACATACATACATACATACATGCATGCATGCATGCATGCCTGCATCCTCATATCAGCAGCACCCACCTGGCAGTGGCCATGGCATTCCACACGTCGTTCAGGTTCCCTCTGCTGCTGCCCAACACAGCATGGTCAAGTGAAGCATCGCATATACCCGACACATACATGCACGCCTGACTACCAGTGGCATAGAAGCAACACCAACCCACCTGGCAGTGGCCATTGCGTTCCACACGTCGTTCAGGTTCCCTCTGCTGCTGCCCAGCACCTCGTCATCTCGGATTATCTCAACTGCCTGGTGGGACGGGAGAGGGAGAAGGAGAAGGAGAGGGAGAGGGAGAGGGAGAGGAGGGGGGAGGGAGGCATGGAGGAAGGAGGAGGGTCCTTAGTAGCAGTGGTTCCCTCTGCTGCTGCCCAGTACCTCGTCATCTCGAATGATCTCCACGGCCTGGTAAGACGGCAGGCAGGGAGGCAGGGAGGGAGGTGGAGGTGGAGAGGGGTAGGGGAGGGAGGAAGGTCAGCTGCGGTGCGTCCGCCCATAGAGAGCATCTCAAGCTGAAACTCCTTTTGCTGCTGCCCAGCACCTCGTCGTTCCGAATGATCTCCACGGCCTGGTGGGAAGAGAGGCAGGGCAGGCAGGGAACGAGGGATAAGGAGGATTTGTAACTGCGCTGTGCCCCCTTGAAGCCGCGCTTCCCTCTGCTGCTGCCCAGCACCTCGTCGTCCCGAATGATCTCCACCGCCTGGTGGGGAGGAAAACAGGGAGGGAGGGAATGAGAGAGTGATGGTGCGAGGGCAGGCAAGCTGGTTACGTCTGCTGCTTCCCAGCACCGCATCGTCCCGAATGATCTCCACCGCCTGGTAGGACGGCAGGCAGGGAGGTTTGGAGAACAAGAAAGGAACGTTAGCTGTGGTTCCTTTTGAGTTTTGAGACGTCTCAGAACGTTAGCTGTGGTTCCTTTTGAGTGCATCCGAACCCTGCTGCTGCCCAGCACCTCGTCGTCTCGAATGATCTCCACGGCCTGGTGGGGAGGCAGGGAGGGGAGGGCGAAGGAGGATCCTCAGCTGTCAGTCCACTTGTGTTTCTCTTGAGTGTATCTCAAGCCTCGCTTCCCTCTGCTGCTGCCCAGCACTGCATCATCTCAAATGATCTCCACCGCCTGGAGGGAAGGAGGCAGGAGGCGCAGGAGAAGGACGGGAGGGAGATGGGCAGGCAGGCAGGCGGGCAGGCAGGCAGGCAGGCATGCAGGGAAGAAAAAAAAAAAACCGTAGTCACAGTGGGTGCGGCATTTTAAACTGCCCAGCACAGGCGGGCGGGCGGGCGGGTGGGTGGGCGGGCAGGCAGGCAGGCAGGCAAGCGGAGAGGGGTGCAATGAGCAGCAGCACGTGGTGTGCAATGAGCAGGACTACACCCTTTCGAGACTCATCAGACTCCCAAACCACCTCACCCTTTCCAGCACATGGGCTGCCTCTGGGTAGCGTGCGAGCTCTGACAAGGCCTGGTGTGGTGCAGTGCGGTGCAGTGTGGTTCTATCTTTAGTCACTCAACCAAACCACTCATCAGACTCCCAAACCAGCTCACCCTTTCCAGCACATGGGCAGCCTCGGGGTAGCGAGCGAGTTCTGTCAGGGCCGTTCCCAGGTAGAAATGCGCCTGGTGTGGTGTGGTGTTGCGTGGTGCAGTGCGGTATGGCGGAAAGGGAGTGGGAGAAAAGGGGCAGTTTTGCAGGGGGGGATGGGGGGGAAGGAAAGACAAGCATATAGATGGGCCATTCTTAAAAAGGTGTCTGAGTGGCTTCTACCCGAGAGAGAACGGCTCTCACTCACACAGCCTGTGAGTGAGTGGCTCGACTCAAAAGTCATGGGGAAAGTAATAATTCCAGGCATGCTTCACCCATCAGCACTCACCTTGACAGACTTCTTGTCGTGCTCGATCTCTCACACAGTCATGCCCCACCTGCCCACCTGTGGAAGGAAGGCCCCCGCAGCCCACATCCACCCTAGAGTCTACCCCACAGTCATACCCCGCGCACACACCTTGACTGACTTCTTGTCGTGCTCGATCGCTCTCACACAGTCATGCTCCACCTGCCCACCTGTGCACGTAAATCATTTCGCAGCAGGCCAACTGTCTACCCTTGGCAACGCACACTCACCTTGACTGACTTCTTGTCATGCTCGATCGCCCTCACACACACAGTCATGCTCCACCCACCCACCTGTGGAAGTAAGGCCTCCGCAGCCCACCAATCCACCCTAAACAAACATCGCCCACCTTGACTGACTTCTTGGCGTGTTCGATCGCTCTCACACAGTCATGCTCCACCAGCCCACCTGTGGAAGCAAGGCCTCCCCAGCCTACCTATCCATCCCCAGCAGCCCACCTATCTTCCCTTCTCAACGCCCACCTTCACTGACTTCTTGTCGTGCTCGATCGCCCTCAGACAGTCATGCTCCACCAGCAGCCAGTCGCTGGGGAAGGAGAGTGGAAGAAGGGTGGAGGAGTGAGGGGTAAGATGGTTGGAAGGAGGGCGAATGGTGATAGAGAAGTGAGGAGACAACTCACTTATCGCCCTCACACAGTCATGCTTCACCTGCAGCCAGTCGCTGGGGAGGAGGGCAGGGGTCGCGGTGAGAGGAGAGGGGGGGGGAGAGGGAGTAATGGTAGGATCGAGCTAGCCAATCTTTCGATCGCCCTCACACAGTCATGCTCCACCTGAAGCCAGTCGCTGGGGAAAGGGATGCGGGGGGTAGGTGGATAGTTGGAGGGAGGATGGATAGGCAATAGGCGGTAGGCTTTGAGAATGTGAACCACCAGTCAATCGTTCTCACACACTCATGCGCCACCTGAAGCCAGACGCTGGGGAGGGGGGCAGGGGGGGCTGGGGCGGGGAGATGGTGAGACGCTGAGGAAGAAACCGATCGAGTGAGAAAAGGGAAGGCTATTCACTGATCCCTCTCACTGAGACATGCCCCACCTGAAGCCAGTCATCCTTCCAACCTTCCATCCATCCATCCTCAACCCAAATTGCCCCGTCCTACCTCCCCATTCCTTCGTCCTCCTCCTCTCATGCCCAGACTGGCTCCATTCTTCCCACCCAGCCCTCAATCTCACCCTCGTTTTCGGTGGCACAGCACGTGGTCGGTCCAGAACGTGTAACCCCTGGTCCTATCACACTTCTGCCCCTCTCCCCCCTCACTCCTCCCCACTCTTCCCCACTCTTCCCCACTCACCCTCGCTTCCGTTCCGGTGGCACAGCGCGCAGTTAGTCCAGAACGTGTACCCCCTGGTCCTATCACACTTCTCCCCCTCTCCCCCCCGCCCTCCTCCTCCCCACCCTGACCCAGTCTTCCGCACTCACAGAGCGCGGTTGGTCCAGAATGTAAACCCTCCACCACCCTCTCATGCTTCCTTCCACCCACCCAGGCCCCACTCTTCCCCCACCGGAACCCACTCTTCCCCACTCACCCTTGCTTCCTGTGGCACAGAGCGCGGTTGGTCCAGAAGGTATAACCCCCTGGTCCTATCACACTTCTCGCCCTCCCCATTCCTCCCCTCCCCACCCAGCTCCCCAGCTTCCCCACTCACCCTTGCTTCCTGTGGCACAGAGCGCGGTTGGTCCAGCACGTATAGGTCCTATCACACTTCTCCCCCCATCTTTCCCCCCCAACTCCTCCCCACCCAACACCCGCTCTTCCCCACTCACCCTTGCTTTCTGTGGCACAGAGCGCGGTTGGTCCAGAAGGTGGCAAAGAGTTATGGGACGTCTCAACATGCATCCCACTCCGTCGGCCCCCACTCCTCCCCCACCTTTTCCCCACCCAGCCAGCCAGCCCTCGTTCTCACCCTTGCTTTCTGTGGCACAGAGCGCGGTTGGTCCAGAAGGTGGCAAAGAGTTATGGGACGTCTCAACATGCATCCCACTCCGTCGGCCCCCACTCCTCCCCCACCTTTTCCCCACCCAGCTAGCCAGCCCTCGTTCTCACCCTTGCTTTCTGTGGCACAGAGCGCGGTTGGTCCAGAAGGTGGCAAAGAGTTATGGGACGTCTCAACATGCATCCCACTCCGTCGGCCCCCACTCCTCCCCCACCTTTTCCCCACCCAGCCAGCCAGCCCTCGTTCTCACCCTTGCTTTCTGTGGCACAGAGCGCGGTTGGTCCAGAAGGTGTTGGAAATAGTCAGTCAACACTTTGTACTATATTCTATATCGGTTAGGTTACTTTGTAGGTTGGGTGTAGATTTGTAATCCCAACCCTATCTGGTTGGGATTCCCTCGTAATCCTGCAAATCTGCCAACTCACCAATTGGAGATTTGCTAGGATTCCCATCCCATCCTTTCCCTAGCTTTGCTCAACCCAACCCTGTTTGTACTGAAGGCCTAGTGCCTTCCTTATCAAGCAATCAGTTCAGTTCCAATTCTATCATGGTATCGAGCTAGTAAATTCCGCTCACGCGGAATCCGATCCTTCGCGTCCCGATGGTTCTCTCCTTTTAGGCTATGCCTATTTCGGTTCCCGGCTCCTACGCTTAGCGTTTTTCATAAACTTCACATCGTCGCTCCGGTCAAGCGCGCATTCGGCTTCCTTCATCGCGCATCTCGTTTTTCAACGGCGACATTCTCAGCTTTCGACTTCCTTCATCGTAAGCTTCTGGTTTTTATATCTCCGTGGCAATTTTCGCATCTTCTTAACTTCGAACAGGTTTTCAGCGACGCAGCGGAACAGGTCCAGCGGCGCAGCGGAACAGGTTTTCAGCGGCGCAGCGGAACAGGTCCAGCGGCGCAGCGGAACAGGTTTTCAGCGGCGCAGCGGAACAGGTTCAGCGGCGCAGCGGAACAGGTTCAGCGGCGCAGCGGAACAGGTTCAGCGGCGCAGCAGAACAGGTTCAGCGGCGCAGCAGAACAGGTTCAGCCGCGCAGCAGAACAGGTCAGCGGCGCAGCAGAACAGGTCAGCGGCGCAGCAGAGAAGCGGAACAGGGGCAGCAGCGAAGCAAACAAGGGGCATTGGCGAAGCGGTATATCAGGGTATAGTACGGGCATTCTATTGCCAAAATCACGTTTCGAACTTCCTCAATTTCCAAAATCACCCGAACTCCGCTCCGCTTCACTCCGCTACGTATCGGAGACTTTAGCGCTGCGCTCCGCGCGAAATGGCAACTTCAACTTCCACTCTCGTCGGAAACCTCATCATCCTTGACCTCGCTCCCAACGGCACGAACACCAATTTCGGGGAGTGGTGCTATGGAGTGGAGAAGCACCTCCTTAGCTCGGAGCTCAAGGGGATTTGCCTCAAAGACATCCTCCTCAATCGCGGCAAGGGGAAGATGCCTCTCCCTCCCGATCCTCTCGGCGAAGGCGCCACTGCCACAGCCAAGCTTGCTTTCGACGCTAAAACCACCAAGTATGAGACGGACTTCAGTCTCTGGGAGCAGGCGGATGCGGCAGTGATTAGGGTTTTCATCACCACCACCCCAGTCGAGTTAGTCAAGTCCTACCGCACCTTCCGCTCTGCGCATGACATTTGGAAGTACCTCCAGGATCGCTTTCATGACAAAACTGCCGTGGGAGTTGCAATCCTCATTCCTCGCATGTTCCAAATCCGCCTTGAGGAATGCCCGGGCATGGCAGACTACATCTCTGAAATCCGCAACATCCATGAGGAGCTCAAGGACATTGGGATCACCTTCCCCGAACAGGCACCTGCTGCTGGGCTTCTCGTCGGACTCACCCCGGCCTACAACGTCACCAGTTCCATGCTCAAGCAGCTCCCCACCAAGGAACTCACCTTCGAGAAAGTCGCTTCGGCCCTTCTCTCTGCCGAAAAGGACCTTGCAGCCCAGGCATCCGTCAATGCTGTGCGCTACTCCCCTGGCATCCCATTTCGTTCCCAGCAGGGCCAGAGGCGCAACTCCTTTCCCCCATGCCAGTACCTCATTAGGAAGGGTCCACGTGCGGGGCAGAAATGCAACGGCACCAACCACCCTGAGGCTACTTGCTTCAAGAAGCGAGATGACGGGTGGTATGACGTCCACGGTGTCTCCAAGGACAAGCGCCCTCCCAACTGGGCATCACCCCGTCGCGTGAACCAGGTCGAGGCAGTGGAGGAACCTGCTCAGGCATTTGCTAGTGCCCCATCTGATGTTCGCCTTAACCTGTTGTTCTCTGGTGCTGGTCTTCTTAATGAGAAGGGGTCGCAGTACATCGGTGTTTCAACCACACAGGGAATTGAGTTCATACTAGACAGTGGTGCCACCCACACAGTGCTTAAAGACCAAACTGCCTTCGTTCCCTACCAGGCTCCCACCTCACTCCTTGGAGCCGATTCTAGCTTCTCCATCCAATGCCATGGGTCCTCCACAGTTTCCTGTCCAGCTTTCCCATCCGGCACAGTCACTGGCATCTGTGCCCCTACCCTCCGCTACAACCTTCTTGCACAGCGGGAAATCCAACACGCAGGCGTGATCACCATCTTTCCCAATGATGTTGACTACTGTGACATGTTTGACGCCAAAACCGGACTCCATCTTGCCCGCTTCACCCTCAACTCCAACAACATGTACACACTAGTTGTACCTCCCGTTCAAACATGCTCCCTCACCAACCTTCCGCTTCCATCCTCAGACTCCTCATGTCACTGCCGCCTCCTCAATGACAAGACTATGCTATTTCATAACCGCCTCGGCCGCATCAACTTCCGCGCACTTTCAGACCTTGCCACCAAACAACTCCTTCATGGGCTGCCCGCCTCACTTCCACAACCCCCCTCTCTTTCTGGACCACCTTGCCTTGACTGTGCACAGAGCAAGCTTCGAGAACAGCCCCATCCTCCCACTGAGTCCACCTCTACCGCACCTCTTGATCGCGTACACATGGACCTTTGGGGTCCAGCTCCTGTTCGTTCCCGTGGCGGACACTTCTACTTCCTTGTCATCGTTGATGACTATTCCCGCTATGTGTCTGTTCACCTTCTCACCGCCAAGTCTGAAGCCCCAGCCATTATCATGGAATGGGCAAGGCAGGCTCATTCACACTTCAAAACCAAAATCAAGATTCTTCACTCTGACGGTGGCGGTGAATTCCGCAACAACACTCTCAAAGCTTTCTGCTCTACTGAGGGTATTCGTCAGACCTTCACCCTCCCAGACAGCCCTCAACAGAACGGTGTTGCTGAGAGCCGAAACCGCATCCTGGTGCAGATTGCTCGCTGCCTCCTCACTCATGCTTCCGCCCCTCCCTCTCTTTGGGGATACGCCATGCTCCATGCTGCCGCCCTCCACAATCTCCATCCTCATCCTCACCACGCCCACACCACCCCCGCAGAGCTGTGGACGGGTCAAAGACCGTCCGTCCGCCCTCTTCGTGTATGGGGGTGCACTTCCTATGTTCTCCTCAACTCCCAAGCCCGTCGTGCAGCTGGCGGCAAGCTTGCTCCGAAAACAATCACGTGCGTGTACCTCGGGCACAACTCGGACTCGCCAGACTACCTCTTCCTCCATCCTACCACCAACAAACTTTATCGCAGCCGAGATGTTTTCTTCGATGAATCCCACCCGTTCTACCCCTCCTCCACAGTTTCTCCTTCTCCTCCGCCTCCTTCTCTTACTTGGGCTGACTTTGACAACCTTCCTCCTACCACCACTCCATCTCCTCCTCTTCCCGCTCCCTCCACAGTTTCCGACCCCCCGTCACCCGCTTCCCCTTCCAGCACCACGCAGTCTCCCCCGCTCCTTCCCGCCCCCGAGCCCATTCCTCTCAAAACCTACCAACGCCGTCCTCCTGCTGCTTCTCCCCCTCCAGCTCCGCCTCCCTCCCCCATCGCTGGTCGCACCCGCTCGCGCAAAGCTCCCAAGCCTCTTTCCCTTTCCATTCGTGTCTCTCTCAATCCTCCTCCTGTCGGGGGTGATTATTCGCTCATGCCCTCCCTTCTTGAGGACAGACATGAGGAGTTGATTGAGATTGACTCAGCCATACACGCACTCTGCTCCCTCTTTCCAGATATCGCAGAATCTCCCACCCTCAACTTCTCGGACAACCCCTCCATCCTCACACCTCTCACCTATGCTGAAGCAGTTTCTGGTCCTCACGCCGCTCAGTGGCTAGGGGCCATTGTCGCAGAGTGTGAGGCCTTCATTCACACAGGAACTTTCACAGGTGTCTCTCCTCCCTCCGGCGTCAACATTGTGAAGGGAAAATGGGTTTTCCGGGTGAAACAACTTCCAGGCGAATTTCCCGTCTTCAAAGCCCGGTACTGTGCCAAGGGATTTACCCAAAAGCATGGACTGGACTTCTTTGAGACATTCTCTCCCACCGCCAAACCTCCCACACTGCGCACCCTTCTCGATGTTGCCGCTCGAGATGACATGGAGGTTGACTGCATGGATGTGTCCTCTGCGTTTCTGCAAGGGATCCTTCGAGAGGAAATCTACATGGAGCGGCCCGAAGGATTTCCAGCTCCTTTTCCACCAGGCACTGTATGGAAGCTGAATCGACCAGTCTATGGCCTCAAGCAAGCACCCCGGGAATGGCACAACAAGCTCAAGAGCACCTTAGGGTCCCTCAACTTTCACCCATCCACCTCTGACCCCAGCCTCTTCATCCGAGCAACACCATCCCGCTTCTTCATCTTGGTTTATGTCGATGACATGATCCTTGTCACCAAGGATCAGACTGAGTTGGCAGCAGTCAAAACCGCACTTGGTGAGAAGCTGGCTATGAAAGATCCTGGGAAACTTACGAACTATTTGGGCATGGAAATCACACGTGATCGCACGGCCCGCACCATCACCCTCTCGCAGAAGTTCTACATCAACAACGTTCTGACCAGGTTTAAGATGCAGGAAGCAGCTTCAATGCCCACCCCACTCTCTCTGCAGCACCAACTCACTGCACCCTCTGTTCCCTCACCTGAGCCCTGTGATGAGGCTTACCCCGAGCTCGTCGGTTCCCTCATGTACGCGATGATGTGCACTCGACCAGATTTGGCCTATCCAGTCAGTGTCCTGTCTCGCTACGTTGCACCTGGTCGCTTCACGAGCCACCACTGGTCTGCCGCCAAGCGGGTCCTCCGCTATCTCAAAGGCACACAGGACTATGTGCTCACTCTTGGCGGCTCTTCCTCTGTTCGCCTTGAGGGGTACAGTGACTCGTCCTATGCTGATGACCAGAGTGATCGGCGCTCTTCCCAAGGATATTGCTTTACCCTTGGCAGTGGGGTTGTCAGTTGGCGCTCCACTCGGTCGTCTTCCGTCTCACTGTCGACCTGTGAGGCAGAGCTGTATGCCGGGACCATGGCTGCCCAAGAGGCCCGTTGGCTCTCCTTCTTGCTGGCAGAACTTGGGTATCCTCAACCAGCCCCAACGCTTTGGTGTGACAACGAGAGCACCATTCATCTCCGAAAGGACCCCGTCTTCCACGGCCGCACCAAGCACATTGAGGTCCGTCACTACTTTCTTCGTGAGCTGGTGCAGCGCGAGCAGCTGAAGGCTGAACACATTGCCTCCGACTGCAACCTTGCTGACTTGTTTACCAAGTCTCTTGTTCGCCAAGACCACTACCGCCTCCTCTCGTCCATGGGTGTTGGGCCGCCATGTGGCTGAAGTGTTGTCAGCCTAGGGGGTGTGTTGGAAATAGTCAGTCAACACTTTGTACTATATTCTATATCGGTTAGGTTACTTTGTAGGTTGGGTGTAGATTTGTAATCCCAACCCTATCTGGTTGGGATTCCCTCGTAATCCTGCAAATCTGCCAACTCACCAATTGGAGATTTGCTAGGATTCCCATCCCATCCTTTCCCTAGCTTTGCTCAACCCAACCCTGTTTGTACTTAAGGCCTAGTGCCTTCCTAATCAAGCAATCAGTTCAGTTCCAATTCTATCAGAAGGTGGCAAAGAGTTATGGGACGTCTCAACATGCATCCCACTCCGTCGGCCCCCACTCCTCCCCCACCTTTTCCCCACCCAGCCAGCCAGCCCTCGTTCTCACCCTTGCTTTCTGTGGCACAGAGCGCGGTTGGTCCAGAAGGTGGCAAAGAGTTATGGGACGTCTCAACATGCATCCCACTCCGTCGGCCCCCACTCCTCCCCCACCTTTTCCCCACCCAGCCAGCCAGCCCTCGTTCTCACCCTTGCTTTCTGTGGCACAGAGCGCGGTTGGTCCAGAAGGTGGCAAAGAGTTATGGGACGTCTCAACATGCATCCCACTCCGTCGGCCCCCACTCCTCCCCCACCTTTTCCCCACCCAGCCAGCCAGCCCTCGTTCTCACCCTTGCTTTCTGTGGCACAGAGCGCGGTTGGTCCAGAAGGTGGCAAAGAGTTATGGGACGTCTCAACATGCATCCCACTCCGTCGGCCCCCACTCCTCCCCCACCTTTTCCCCATCCAGCCAGCCAGCCCTCGTTCTCACCCTTGCTTTCTGTGGCACAGAGCGCGGTTGGTCCAGAAGGTGGCAAAGAGTTATGGGACGTCTCAACATGCATCCCACTCCGTCGGCCCCCACTCCTCCCCCACCTTTTCCCCACCCAGCCAGCCAGCCCTCGTTCTCACCCTTGCTTTCTGTGGCACAGAGCGCGGTTGGTCCAGAAGGTGGCAAAGAGTTATGGGACGTCTCAACATGCATCCCACTCCGTCGGCCCCCACTCCTCCCCCACCTTTTCCCCACCCAGCCAGCCAGCCCTCGTTCTCACCCTTGCTTTCTGTGGCACAGAGCCCGGTTGGTCCAGAAGGTGGCGACAGATGGACACAGACGAATGGCCTGGTGGGGAAGGAGGGAAGATGGGAAGGGAAGGGAAGAAGAGAAGGGAATGGAGCATTCAAGTTCTTTTCTTGCTCTCACTCCACACACACACACTCGCTGCCCGTGGCACAGGGCACGGTTGGTCCAGTGTGTGGCAACGGATCGGATGGACACAGGCGAATGACCTGGTGGAACAGATGGGGAGGGAACATGGGAATACAGGAAGGGAAGGGAATGGGGCATTTTAATTCTTTTCTCGCTCTCACTCCACACACACACTCTTGCTTCCTGTGACACAGCGGGCGGTTGGTCCAGAGCGTGGCGACGGATGGACACAGGCGAATGGCATGGTGGGGAAAAAAAAGGGAGGGAATGGACGATTAGTGAGACACTTCAGAGATGGACTGGACAGGACACTTTTAAGTCGACTCAAAAGTCACCCCTAGACAGGACACACGCGAATGGAAAAACAAACAGCTCGCTGGAATATGTCTCAAGGTGGAAGAAGCAGCCACCGTACCTCAGTGTAGCACGTGATAGCGACTTTTGAGACGTCTCTCATGGAGTTTGTTTCGTTGTCCTAAAACAACACGAGTTGATGGAAGTAAGGCCTCCGCAGCCCACCTGTCCTCTTTTGACAGCTCCTGCACGTGACAGCGACTTTTGAGACGTCTCTCATGGAGTTTGTTTCGTTGTCCTAAAACAACACGAGTTGATGGAAGTAAGGCCTCCGCAGCCCACCTGTCCTCTTTTGACAGCTCCTGGACGTGACAGCGACTTTTGAGACGTCTCTCATGGAGTTTGTTTCGTTGTCCTAAAACAACACGAGTTGATGGAAGTAAGGCCTCCGCAGCCCACCTGTCCTCTTTTGACAGCTCCTGCACGTGACAGCGACTTTTGAGACGTCTCAAAAGTCACCCCTGGACAGGACAGGACAGGACAGGACAGGACAGGACAGGACAGGACAGGACAGGACAGGACAGGACAGGACAGGACAGGACCGGACAGGACAGGACAGGACAGGACAGGACAGGACAGGACAGGACAGGACAGGACAGGACAGGACAGGACCGGACAGGACCGGACAGGACCGGACAGGACCGGACAGGACAGGACAGGACAGGACAGGACAGGACAGGACAGGACCGGACGGGACCGGACAGGACAGGACAGGACAGGACAGGACCGGACAGGACAGGACAGGACCGGACAGGACCGGACAGGACAGGACAGGACCGGACAGGACCGGACAGGACACGCGCGAATGGAAAAACAAACAGCGGGAGGTGGAAGAAGCAGCCACCGTACCTCAGTGTAGCACGTGACAGCGGCGGCTGCTATCTCCGCCCTGCTGTACTGCTCGTTCTTCTCATCCTCCCTTGGTACAGGAAGGGAGAGGGAGCACAGTAGCGGGATAGTACTGTAGCGGGAGAGCACTGTACCGCTATCTCCCTCGCTGTAACGAGGCGAGGAAGAGCAGTGTAGCTCAGTATAGCACGTGATAGCGGCTGCGATATTCCCTGCGCTGTACCACTCGTTCCCCTGCTCCCTTGGTGCAGGGAGGGAGGGGGAGAACTGTAGCAGGAAAGCACTGTATCTCCCCTGCTCGCTATAACAAGGAAAAGACACTGTACCTCGGTATAGCATGTGATAGCGGCTGCCATATTCCCTGCGCTGTACTGCTCGTTCCCCTGCTCTTTCAACCGCTCTGCTCGTCTCTGCGCACTCGAAGTCGTTGCGGATTCTCCTGCTGCTGATTGCGCCGGTGGTGCTGCGCTCGCGCCTGCTGCTTGTGCCGCCCCCCTGCCCCCGCCGCTGCTTCCCCCTCCGCCCACGCCTCCGCCACTGCCTCCCCTTCCCCCTCCTGTGCCTCCTCCTCTCTCCCCACCCCTTTCTCTCTGCCTTTCTCTTGCCCTTTCTCTCTCTCCCCTTCCTCCTTCGCCTCCTCGCTCCCCCTCCCCTTCCCCGCCAGCCCCTCTCCTCCCCGCCTCGCCTCGTCTCGTAACTTCCACGTGACTCCAGCTGAAGAGAAACGACCGCATTCCACCGCTGATGTTGCTGTTGCTACCGCTGCTGCTACCGCGGCTGCTGCTGCTGGCGCTGGCGGTGGTGGTGTTCGTGCGGCGACTCTCCATGACACCCCGCAACGACGCTATGCGACCGGCTACGACGATGTGCGACCAGTTACGACGATATGCGACTGGCTACGACGATATGCGACCGGCTACGACGTTATGCGACCGGTTACGACATTATACGACCGGCTACGACCATGAATCGCTTCTGAGAAGTTGAGACAAAGACTCAAAGGATTTTCAAAAGACTTCAACTTGAAAAGACGAAGACTCGTACCCAAAAGATTTCAAGTCAAACGATTGAGCTCGACTCCAACTGAAGTAGAATGGCTGCTCCACACCTGCCAGTCCTGATGCTGGACGGTTTTCGCAATACAAGCTACGATGTTGTACGACAGGCTGCGACGCTGAACGACAGGCTGCGACGCTGAACGACAGACTGCGACGCTGAACGATTGTGGGAGAGTCAACTACAGTTTCTCACAGTACGCTGCGACGGTGTTTCCAAAAAACAACTTGCACTGCCTCATTTGAAAGGCTACCACGCTGTTTCAGGGCTCTATTGCGTTTCCGGTCGCTTTCGAGTCGACTCTAAAGCTTTTCAACGACCTTTATTCTTCCCAAATTACTAAGAAAGCTCTCGCGTACGACTTATTCAGGACCTAAGCGGCTGGGAGACGAAGAAGCGGCTACAGCTGAGCACTAGACTAGACATATTATCTTAGGCTAGTGTTTTGTGCTCGTTGAACTCCATAGTGGTTGCTCTGGCTTCGCTAATCTTCAATGCTCGTGTATGTGTAAGAGAAATGTTACTTAATTAATAGTACACATACACGAGCAGGTACATTATTTTGTTTCACAGCTTACTAACGAGGATAAGCATGCACTTTCGAGCTTTTGGGATAAATATGCAGGAGATCAGACTTTCTTCTACCTTGACTCGACCTCTCTTCCTCGCCTTTCTTCAATTTATCTCCCTGCCGCCATTCCGCCAGTCTCGCGCACGCGTTCGTGCCTGGCAGTTCTTATCTGTGATCCACCGGGCATTAAACCAGGCTTCTTTCTTCCGCTCACCTAACCTTTGAGGTTCGTTTCGTTGTCCTAAGAACAAGAGTTGTGGAAATAAGGCATCCGCAGCCCACCTGTCCGCTTCTGACAGTCCCTCGCACGCGTTCGTGTCTGGTAATTCTCATCTGCGATCCACCCTCGTTGGACCATCATGGCTGCTCAAACCGAGGACTTGGCCACGACGGACCAGCTAGCTGATCGTGTTACGGCTACCATTACGGATTTCGCAGCGGCTACAACCGAGGATAAGCTGATTCGCTTATCTCCGTTGGATGCAGTGATGGGTCCGTTCGGGTTCACCATAGTTTACATCTTTCCGCCTCCCGAACCTCCAAACTCCTGCGATTTGCCGCCTTCCGAGCCTCCTAGTGTCACCGGCCGAATGTCTGCCAAACCAGATACACTTTCCGAACCAATTTCTTCCGAACCTAGTATGTCTTCCGAGGCACATGATACTCTCACCCACTCAACCGAGGAGCTGGTGAATCAACCGTACGATTTGGACCGGCTTCGCTCGTCATTCGTGGATCTAATCGAACAAGATTACCCTATTATGCTGGGCAAATTGCACGTTGATCCTGCAACTTGCGTAACGAGCGTGCTACAAACGAGGGAATGCCTCGCTGCTGGCGCAAAAGCAATCAGATTCACTCAAGCTCCAAAATCATTTCTATCAGAGTCCGAACCAGGAAATTCGTTCCCCCCTCTCACAACCACCGAAGCCATGGCTTCCCTTCCAATGTCGTTGATGCCGGAGCGCGATCCGACGGAGTTAATCTCCATTAAGGCTACCATTCTCTCGGATGGCGGGATGGCGATCGGAGTGAACATCAGTCACTGCCTAGTGGATGGAGAGGGAATGTTTACATTCATGAAAATGTGGGGGATGCGGTACAGAGGGGTGAGGAGTGGTACGGAGCAGCAGCATGTGATTTGTCATGATAGGTCGCTGCTGTTTGGGAAGGGAGTTGGGTCCAAGCTGCCTCATCCTGAGTTCAGGGTTCTAGAATCTTGTGAGGAACCCGCACAAGCAGCGGCAGCAGCAGCAGCATCGGAAACAGCAGCGAAAGAAACAACGGCATCAGAAGACGCAGCACCACAGGCATCAGCAGCAGCGTCAGAAGCAGTACAATCAGCAACACCAACGGTTTCGAAAGCAGCAGAAGCACCAGCAGCAGCAGCAGCAGAAGTGCCAACTGCAGCAGCAGCGCCTGTGTTTCCTGCAACCTCACATTCCATCTTCCACCTCTCCCCTAACCAGCTCAAAACACTCAGATCCGTTGCATCTGGGCCGTCAGATTCCAAATCAGAAGACCATCCAACGGAACACGACCCTCATGGACCCACATACGTCAGCACTATTGACTCTGTATCAGCACTCATGCTCCTCCTAATCTCGCAAGCCCGAGGCCATAATAAAGACGTCCGTTTCACCACTGGCGTCAACGGCCGGAGGAGATTAATCCCTCCTCTGCCCGAAGACTATTGCGGAAATGTGATTTTCAACGCCTTGTCTTGTTATTCCGCTTCAGAACTTAGTGAGACAACAGCTGCTACACTGCGCCTCGTCGCGCAGAGAATCCGGCGATCCATTATAAGCTGCTCCAATACTTACATGCGCGACGCCATAGAATTCCTCACAGAGCAACAAAACATCTCCTCCGTGCGAGTCGGAACGGATTTTTTCTTTGGGGATGACGTCATGCTGACGTCATGGGTGAATCACGGCATGTATGATGCGGATTTTGGCGCCCGGCCATGGTATGTGGGGGTGCCGAGGCTCCCATGCTGCGATGGCATGGTGGTGGTGATGGAAGGGATTGGGGGAGCAGAGGGGTTGGATGTGCTGCTGCTGCTGGAGGCTTCAGCTTCAGAGCGGTTCAAGAGGTTATGGAATGAGGTTCTGTTCTGGCAGTGATGTAGCAAAAGAGTCTGATGTCAATAGGCTTGTACAGTATGATGGGGACTTGAGCAGCGTCAACTTTGCACATTGGTTGAGGGGGGGAGCAGAGGGGCTAGACGTGCTGCTGCTGCTGGAATCTGCAGCTTCAGAGAGGTTCAAGTGGTTATGGAATGAGGTTCCGTTCTGGCAGTGATGTAGCAAAAGAGTCTGATGTAAATAGGCTTGTACAGTATGATGGGGACCTGAGCAGCGTCGACTTTACACATTGGTTGAGGGGGGGAGCAGAGGGGCTAGACGTGCTGCTGCTGCTGGAATCTGCAGCTTCAGAGAGGTTCAAGTGGTTATGGAATGAGGTTCCGTTCTGGCAGTGATGTAGCAAAAGAGTCTGATGTAAATAGGCTTGTACAGTATGATGGGGACCTGAGCAGCGTCGACTTTACACATTGGTTGAGGGGGGGAGCAGAGGGGCTAGACGTGCTGCTGCTGCTGGAATATGCAGCTTCAGAGAGGTTCAAGTGGTTATGGAATGAGGTTCCGTTCTGGCAGTGATGTAGCAAAAGAGTCTGATGTAAATACGCTTGCACAGTATGAGGTCCCGTTCTGGCTATGGAATGAGGTTCCGTTCTGGCAATGATATAGCAAGAGTTGGGTGTATGTTGTATAGGCTTGTGTAGTTTGATGCAGAATTGGGGTGCGTTGAAGCTACAGCTTAGCATACTGTGGTTTTGTGAAGTTCTGGGATGAGGTTCCTTTTTGGCAGTGAGGATGTGGGGGTGGGGTTGTTTTGCTCTCTCCACTGTGTCCAATCAACGCGACCAGCGGCAACCCGGTTGCCTGCTTTCCGCCACCATCCCATGCCGACCGGACCTCTCCTACGCCGCAATCCAGATCACTCAGTACCTTAGGCAAACTGAAGTGGAAAAACATGGCGGACCTACGCAGGAAACTGCTGTACTTCATTTCCTACTCGCAACCTAAAGGCATGGGATAATGAATGGAGATGCACAAATAAGCTGATTAAATTCTATCATAGTATAGCCATGATCCTAGGCCTATATTTGTGTAGTGCCACCCGTAATCGAAGAGTTTTGGGGCAAAGAAGGTGTGCCACGTGGATGCAGTGCTGACCTTGAGAGTGCCGCAAAAACGTGGACCACCAGAATTCGGGAAGATTGTGGCTGCCAACAGCCGTGTCATGTCCCTGTGGTTTGTTACTTTACACCATACTCAACCTATACAGCCTCTTTAAGGAACACCTCGAAACTCACTGAACCGCAATAATGTATGTCAAAGCACACCCTTATCCAAGTACGACCATCAACAACAACCATGTTCACTCAACCTTGAGCTATTGCAACATAGCTACTCCCCAAACCGCCTAGGATGATAATACTGGCTTCCAAATTCCAAGTTCCAACTGCCTTAGCTTGCTTGCTCTAGTCCGCTTGAGTAACTGACAGCAGGCAGTACCAGGCTCTCTTACACGCTGCATTGAGGCGCCTTGTAAGATACCACGAACGCAGCGCTGAGCCTGCAATTAGGGACCAGGAAGTTCCCTAGGCCTGTATTGGGACGCCATAAATGAAGGATCCGCGGAGGTTGTCTAGGATACCTTGTCGTTAAAGTCGCGTTCGCCGAGCCGCGACTCCAGTAGACTCCTTTGGAAGATCCTGGTGGAACTCTGTTGGAATTCTCACCTTGCTCGGGAATTCTCGTCTGTCACTTCCCTGGCCCGATTTTTTCGATGACGTCGCAGCTTGTCACTCGCAACACCCTGCCACCCGGCGTTGTCACATTCACTACCAGCGCATCGGGAAATGTCGCAAGACGTGCCGTGGTCGCGGTTGACGGAGTCGTTCGTCGGCAATGCTCAGCCACTTGTCGTAATTATCACCGACTTGAATCGGACGGTCCTGATTCACCGCGCGTTCCTGATTTTTCACGATCGACGTTCCGAACAACTCGTTCGCTTAAGTTCAATGCGGTGTTGACACGGGGAGGTTGCGGAAGTGACAGAAGCGAGGGCTCAACTGCTAGGCAGGAGCTTTCATGTGATCCCCAGACACCGTTACAATCACGTCCAGATGCCGTTCAATTTAAAGTCGAATCGTCCTCGTCGCGCCTGTGGGCCTTACTGTGCGGTCCTTCCGAAGAACTCAATAACTTGGATGCGGCATCTCCCCGTTTGTGGCCCTCGCTCTCCGTCTCCTGCATGCTTCTCGCTCTTCTCAGCTCTTCCCTCCCCGCCTTAGCCTCCCCTGCCAGTGACCTGTCCCCGATATACGCCAACCTGACACCCGCAGCAGATTATCGTTTGAAAGATCACCGGATACAGGAGCTTGCGGGCTCAGACAACGTCCCTGCTCAGGTACCGGATATCAACAAAGAGAGTATTTTTCAAGTGGCGTTGCTCCCAGCCCCGCCGTTAGAGTCGACTTCGACCTTCTCCGAACCTTCTACCATCACCACCACTACCAGCAGCAGCAGCAGCAGCAGCAGCAGCAGCAGCAGCAGCAGCAGCAGCACTGACAGCAGCAGCAGCAGCAGCAGCAGTGGCACCATCGGCAGCAGCGGCAGTAGCAGCATCGGCAGCAGTGCCTCTTCCTCGCCTTCCTCTCTCTTCTGCCCTCCCCCGTCCTCCACCAATCTCTCAGGCGAACGTTTTGCCGCTGAAGCCGAAATAACGGACCAATCAGTGGTCCTGGAGGCCTGGGAAGTGGTCAACGAAACATTCTTCGATGCCCGGAACAAGGGGTGGACGCCCGAGGCCTGGGCAGCGAAAAAAGAGGCTATTCTTCGGAAACCCCCCAAAAGCAGGGGGGAAGCCTACGCCATGATCAGCAGCATGCTTGCGAGCTTAAATGACCCGTATTCCCGGTTCGTGTCACCCAAGCAATTCGCGGCATTAGCTAAGTACGACGTTACTGGCATCGGGTTGAATATAGGCGAGGATGTGGAGGACGGGCGGGTGAAGCTGAAAGTGGTGGGGATCGTTCTCGGCTCGCCAGCACAGCTAGCAGGTGAGCTCATCGCGATCGGTGCAGTATGGTATTCTCTCACTATAGTGGGGCTGGTTGTATGGGGACGGTATGGAGGACGGGCAGATGAAGTTTAAATGGTGGGAGTTGTTCTCGGCTCGCCGGCATAGCTAGCAGGTGAGCTGGCTGTAACACGTGGCAAATATGCCGATCTGGCAGGTGACGTGGCAGATGTTGAGCGTTACTCTCCTCTCTGCGTCGCATCCTCCATCCTCCGTACCCTTCGTTACCCCCTTCTCTCTGCTTCCTCCCCCACCTCCTCCTCTCCCTCCCCTCTGTCCACTTTCCCTCCCGACCCATATCCTCTGTCACGGCGCATCCAGGTGTGCATCAAGGGGACGAGCTCGTATCAGAGGACGGCACGAGCGTGCATGGCATGACCTCTCTGCCTGCCCCTCCTCCTCCCCCCTCCCCCCGCCCCATAATTCTCGTCGCCCATCCGTCGTTTCTCCCGTTCCATCTCCCTCTCGCACAAACAGGAGTGCGGCAAGGCGACGAGCTCGTTTCATTGGACGGCACGAGTGTACAGGGCATGTCCGCATTCGATGTATCTTCGCTTATCCCATCCCGTTCCCCATCCCCAACCCCCTGCCCCTCCCCCTCCCCCATTGCTTAGGCGTGCGGCAAGGGGACGAGCTCGTTTCAGTGGACGGCACGAGCGTGCAGGGCATGTCCGCATTCGACGTATCTTCTCTCATCCAGGGGCCCAAGGGCACCCCTGTAACTGTTGCCATTCGCCACGACTCGTGCTCCCCTATAGAGTTCCTCACTATGGCGCGCACTAGCGAAGTGCAATCGCCTGTGCTGTACCGCCTCGACCGAAACGACCCCATCTCTCCTCTGGGCTTGTTCCAGGACTTCTCCTCTGCTGCTTCCTCCTCCTCCTCCCCTTCTCCCTCCGCTTCCTCCTCCTCTTCTTCCTCTTCCATGTTCTCTTCAGTGTTTTCCTCCTCCTCTGCCCCAACAGGCCCTGTTGGTTACATCCGGCTCAAGGAATTCAACGCAGCAGCGAAGCGTGACGTGGTAACCGCAATCCAACGGCTAGAAGCAGCCGGGGCAACATCCTTTGTCCTCGACCTGCAGGACAACCCGGGCGGGCTCGTGCAATCCGGGGTAGAAATCGCAAAACTCTTCCTCGAGCGAGGACAAACCGTGGTCTACACCGAGGCGCGCCCGGGTGATTTACCCCAGAAAAGAAGCATTGAAGCCACAGGAAAACCGCTCACTCGAGCCCCTCTAATGGTCCTCGTGAACGGCCGAACGGCCAGTGCTAGCGAAATTGTAGCCGGCGCGCTGCACGATAACTGCCGGGCGGTTTTAGTTGGGTCAAGAACCTTTGGAAAGGGGTTGATTCAGAGTGTGTATGAGCTGAATGACGGGTCGGGGATGGTGGTGACGGTGGGGAAGTATGTGACTCCTGGGTTGGTGGATATCGATGGGAATGGCATTTCGGCTGATTTCAGGAGGAAGCCGAGCGGGGATATGGCCCGATGGAAGCTTGCCAACTGCAAGGTGCCGAGCTCGTAGGGTGGGAGGAGGGAGAGATGTTGCTGGTGGGGAAGCAAAGGGATGATGGTGGTGACGGTGGGGAAGCAAAGGGATGGTGGTGGTGACAGTGGGGAAGCAAAGGGATGGTGGTGACGGTGGGCAAGTATGTGACTCCTTGTCTGGTAGATATCGATGGGAATGGCATTTCAGCTGATTTCAGGAGGAAGCCGAGCGGGGAGATGGCGCGATGGAAGCTTGCTAACTGCAAGATGCTGAGCTCATAGGCTTGGGGAAGGAAGGGGGGGGGGGGGGGGGGGGCTAGCCGGGATGAGTGGGGAACAGCTGTGGAGTTTTAAGGAGTTTAACTGGGAGTTTAACTGCTTTCCCCCACTGAGAGGTTGGAGAGTACTTGTAAGAGGCGACCGATTTGGCTGGTTGAGACTGGAAATGGAGTGCAGGTGAGTCCAGCTGGTAAGGGGCATGCAAGTGACAGTCCCCCAGCTAATCAGACAGAGTTTTGCAGCAGGTTCTACACAGTTTTGGGAGAGGGAGGGAGAAATAGAATCGGCGAGAAAAGTAGGTATTAGGTGTTTTAGACAAGACATTTCATTTGATCTGAAACAAAACCTCTTTGCTTGAATGAGTATATTGTGCAGGACTTTCTTCGGTGCAGTATCAGTATGCTGGATTATGTCAATAAATAATAGATTGTGCTGTATATGCACCTCATATAGAATATGTGCTTCCTAACGATTGCTGGAATGGTGTCGCTGGAATGATTGACAACTTCTACTGATGACTCCATAACGAAGCGAACAATGTCTGGCAAGGCTTCGCTTCGATTGAATTTCAGGTAATATTTCGAATGGTGTGTGAGACGCGCCTCGTTCATAGCGACACTGGTAGTTCTGACTTTCACTTCCTAAATCCTCCTGTCGCCTGCGCGAAACGCTTTTGCCCTGCGAGTCTCCATGGCTACCACTTCAAGCAGTGACCGTTCTTTCCCGGGGCACTCGGAAAGAGTTGCAGCTACGGAACGTCCGGTCGTTGCGAAAGCTCACTCAGGTGCTACAGGTGTCTCGAGCTCCAAATCCGCTACTAAGCCGCGCGCAGCAGCAGGAACGGCTGTAGCGGCCGCGGTTCTTGCAGCTGTGGCCGCGATTGCCGCGGCAGTAGCTGCGGGGGTATTTTCTGACGGAGTAGGAAATTTGGAGGTGGAAAAGTGGAAATCTGCTTTCCATCTGACTCAGAGGGACCCGAAATCCGAGTCGGTTCAAACGGACCCGGAATTTCGATACGTGGAGGGAGCGGGGCCTGGGATTGGTGCGCGTGAGATTGTTGTCGACGTGGACCGGCTTCAGGAACAGGTAGGCTGAGCTTTCGAATCCCCTCCCCTCCCTCACCTCCCTCCCTCTACTCTCCACCCAGGTTCCTTGTTTCAAGAGCAGGTACGCTGGGGTTTGGGATCCCCTCCCCTCCCTCACCGCGCCCCCCCCCACTCTCCCCCCAGCCCCCTGCTGGCGTTTAGGATCCCCTCCCCCTTCACCCACCTCCCTTCACCCCCTTCTCCCCCTCCCCTCCCCTCCCTCGCCCAACCCCCCCCCCCCCCCCCCCCCCCCCCCCCCTCTTCCCCTCCTCTCAGTCATCCCCTCTTCCCCACTATCCCTCCTTCCATTCGTCCCACAAGCACGTCTCGTTTCCCTCCTCATTCATCTCAACCATCCTCCCCACCTGTTCGCACCCGCTGTTGAGCCGCCTCAAAGGTCCCTCCACTCCACATTCGTCTCATTCTTCCATCCCACCCTGATCGTACCCACCCTCCATCCCACCCTGATCGTACCCACCCTCCCTCCCACCCTGATCGTACCCACCCTCCATCCCGCCTCAGATCGACCACCTCGCCACCTTCTCCAATGACGAGCCGCCAGCTGTCACTCGTGTACTGTTCACGGAGAACGACGTGAGGGCAAGAGAGTGAGTGCACTGAGTAATGTTTGAGTCGAGCTTTGAGTCGACTCAAGGATCGCTTATTTTTCGCATTCCTTCCCCAATGTGTATTGCTACACTGTCTAACCTTCGTTGCTGCTCCTACCTTTCTAGCAGCTTACTTGGTACATGTCTATGTGTGTCTCTGTATATGTGGATAAATGTGTGCGTTTCTCTGTGTATATATTTGTGTTGTACAGTTACGTGAAGACGCTTATGAGGGAAGCGGGGCTGAGTATAAGAGAGGATGCTATCGGCAACATCTTTGGCAGATGGTGAGGCTTTGGCAGAAGGAGGATGCCTTCTCTTGTGTCATTCGCTCCTATGGCAGATTGCAGGTTGGCAGGTCGATGTATACAGAACAACAGGTCAATGTAGCGTCGTGACTATTGAATCGACTCAGGTCGATGTATACTTTTGAGTCGACTCAATCTCAACAGGTGAATGCAGTGTCGATTTGCCCCAGAGTGGCAAGCTGGCCGCTCTGTCGTCGATGCATTCAGAACAGCACGGTCCCGCTGAAAAATGTAAGTGTGGAAAATTCCTGCTGGAAAAATGCATGACCCACTTTTACAAGCAGGGCTTTAAGTTGCAGGTTCCGTCTTTGTGTCTTCAGAAGGTTGATTGATGCAATCCTCCTTTTCTTTCACAACACTTCCTCCTCCTCCTCTCCCCCCTTCCGCCTCCCCACCCCCAACCTTTGCACACCCAGGGAGGGGTCCAATGAATCGTTGCCAGCTGTTGTCACAGGGTCGCACACGGATGCGATCCCATTGGCCGGGAAGTACGACGGCGTTGTGGGGGTGCTGGGTGGGATCGCTGCAGTGCAGGCGCTGAAACGGTGGGTCTTGCTTGCATTGTCCCCTCTCTCTCCTCCTTCCCCTCGCCTTCCTTTGGCTGTAAAAAACGATGGGGTGGTGGATATGCCGCCTCCCTCCCCTCTCTCATGCCTATTCTCCCCACCCCCGTCTTTCTAGGGCAGCGTTTCCCCCCCATTGACCAATTAAATTGCTCATGTTAACTTCTTTCCACAAGGGAAGAAACAAGGGAGCTTCTTTCCACAACCGCACCCATATCCCCCTTCCGCTGCTCTCCCCCCCTTGTGCAGGGCCAGGTTCTCCCCCCATCGCCCCATCGAAGTGCTCATGTTCACTTCTGAAGAGCCCACCCGCTTTGGAATAGGCTGCCTGGGCAGGTGGGCTGGAAAGGTGGGGGGTGTTGTGCGGTACGGACGGGTTGGGTGGTGTGTAGGACGTCTCCCCCCATTGCCCCATCGAAGTGCTCATGTTCACTTCAGAGGAGCCCATCCGCTTTGGAATAGGCTGCCTGGGAGGGTGGGGTGTTGGGGAGGGTGGTGGGTGGGTTGTGCTGCTTGCTGGTTCAAGTGGGGTGCTGTGCAGTAAGAGGGAGTGGGCCGGAATGGGGTGTAGGGCGTCTCCCCCCATCGCTCATGCTCACCTTGGAAGAGTCCACTCTCTTTGGAATAGGCTGCCTGGGCAGGTGGGTTGAGAGGGTGGGTGATGTGCGGTAATGGGGAGCGGGGCGATGGTATGAAGGAGGTTCTGCCCCCATTCTCGACAGGACCGGATTCTCCCCCCATCGCCCCATTGATGTGCTCATGCTCACCTCTGAAGAGCCCACTCGCTTTGGAATAGGCTGCCTGGGCAGGTGGGTGTTGTGAGGGAGGGGGTGGGTGGTGCTGTCGTGCTTGCTGGGTCAAGTGGGGTGTTGTGCGGTAAAAAAGGGCGGGTATGGGGTGTGGTAAGTGGGGTTCTCCCCCCATCGCCCCATCGATGTGCTCATGCTCACCTCTGAAGAGCCCACTCGCTTTGGAATAGGCTGCCTGGGCAGGTGGGTGTTGTGGGTGGGGGGGTGGGGAGGGTGGGGGGAAGGTAGGGGAGGGGTTGGGGGAGTTATCCCCCCATCGCCCCATTGCAGTGCTCATGTTCACTTCAGTGGAGCCCACCCGCTTTGGGATAGGGATGGGGAAGGAGACAGGGGGTGGCAATTGTGCCGCTTGGAAGGGCTGCTGAGGTGTTGCTTGTTTTCACTTCAGAGGAGCCCACCCGCTTGGGATAGGCTGCCTGGGCAGGTGGGGAGCGCAGGTGTGAAGGGGACCTGGGCAGGTGGGGAGCGCAGGTGTGAGGGGGATGCGCTGATCTGCCTCCCAAGACAGGTGGGGTGTGCGGAAGAGGGATTAGGTTTGATAGGGAAAGCATGTTTTAGACGCCCTTGGAAAGGAGCAGTGCTGATAGCGAGGGAAAACAACCTGTCGTACTCTTTTGCGTGCTCCCATTTGTGACTCCCCCACTTGTCATATGCCTTTTGTCCTTCCCCGCCCCTTCCCATCGCTTCCCCTGCCCTTCCCCTGCCCTTCCTGTGCCCTTCCCCTGCCGTTCCCCTGCCCTTCCTCCGCCCTTCTCCTGTCATTCCCTTGTCCTTTCCCATCCTCTTTCCCCTCCATTCCATCCTCCTCCCGCCTCCTGCTTTTTCCCTTTTCCCAGCCCCTCCTTAACGCATACCAACTTCACACCACCACCCCTTTTCCCCCACTCACACTCTTCATTGTTCAGTCCACTCCCCCCCTTCATTTTCAACCCACACACTGTTTCAATGTTCTCATGGTTTCACTGTTTCACTATTTTATTGTTTCACTATTTTATTGTTTCACTATTTCATTGTTTCACTATTTCATTGTTTCACTACTTCATTGTTTCACTGATTCACTGTTTCACTATTTCATTGTTTCACTATTTCATTACTTCACTATTTCTTTGTTTCACTATTTCACTGCTGACCACTGTTCCACTGTTTCACTGTTCATTCCCCCCAGTCGCATGTTGGCCAACCAAACTGGCTATCTCGATCGCCTGCTGGCGCTCCAGGACAAAGACGGCCAGCCGTTCGCCGAGGCTGCCGCCGAATTTGGTTACGGAGAGGCTCGGAACGCAGGTTCGGTGGCAGCCGTGGCTTTGATTCGGGAGCAAGTGGGCACTTTTGTGGAGCTTCATATTGAACAGGGGCCACTACTGGAAGAACAAGGTATTTCTATATGTAGTGTACACGTACGTTTATATTATGTATACAGGTATGTATATAATGTCAATGCTTATACACATCTTTAATTGTGTGTGGTGGTAAGGATAACAACATAGGGATAGCAGTGGCAATGCCAGCAAGGCGTTGTTGATCGATGTGTTGCATATTCACGTGTATTTTGAATATCATACATACACATGTAGATCGTACGCATGTACATTGCATTCATATACATCACATGCATTACCACATGTACTCGTGAATCATGCATGCAGGGCTTGACATTGGCATAGTGACAGCGATAGCGGCACCAGCAACGCTGATGGTCGATTTCAGTGGAGGAGGGGGCCATGCTGGCGCACTGCTCATGAAGCACAGGTGTGTGGCAGTGTGCTGAGGTGTGCTGTGGTGTGCTGAGGTGTGCTGAGGTGTGCTGTGGTGTGCTGAGGTGTGCTGAGGTGTGCTGAGGTGTGCTGTGGTGTGCTGAGGTGTGCTGAGGTGTGCTGAGGTGTGCTGAGGTGTGCTGCGGTGTGCTGTGGTGTGCTGCGGTGTGCTGTGGTGTGCTGCGGTGTGCTGCGGTCTGTGATTAGAAGTGTTCATGCTCATTTTCAGTGGAGGGGGGGGGCATGCTGGAGCCATGCTCATGAAGCACAGGTGTGCTGAGGTTTGTTGGGGTGTGTTGAGGTTTGTTGGGGTGTGTTGAGGTTTGTTGGGGTGTGTTGAGGTTTGTTGGGGTGTGTTGAGGTTTGTTGGGGTGTGTTGAGGAGTGTTGGGATGTGTTGGGATGTGTTGGGGTGTGCGTGAGTACATGACATAGTGAGAGCGATAGCAGCACGGCGCCAGCATCGCTGATGGTCGACTTCAGTGGAGGGGGGGGCCATGCTGGAGCCCTGCTCATGAAGCACAGGTGTGCTGAGGAGTGCTGGGGTTTGTTGGCCAATCGGGTAAGCTTCCCTCTCATCTCTCTTGCTCATTGTTTGTACTAAAGAGCCTCTTGGCTCATTATTCAATTGATCAATTCTCTCCTTCAACATGGTATCATGAGCTAATGGCTCACGCCTTCATCCCTCGGTCCTTAGGCCACCCTCTCCTCCCCGTCCCTCAGATCTAGCCTTCTAGAACGGAACTGCCATCTCCCCGCGCGCCCCATAAGGCGCAGCCCTCCAAGGCACTGCTCCACGCACGTCCAGATCTGCAACTCCAGCGCCCAGATCTGACCTCCCAGCGCCCAGATCTGCCCTCCCAGCGCCCAGATCTGACCTCCCAGCGCCCAGATCTGCCCTCCTAGCGCCCAGATCTGACCTCCCAGCGCCCAGATCTGCCCTCCCAGCGCCCAGATCCGCCCTCCCAGCGCCTTGATCCGCTCTCCTCGCGCTCAGATCTGCAACTCCAGCGCCCAGTTCTGACCTCCCAGCGCCCATATCTGCCCTCCCAGCGCCCAGATCTGACCTCCCAGCGCTCAGATCTGCCCTCCCAGCGCCCATATCTGACCTCCCAGCGCCCAGATCTGCCCTCCCAGCGCCCAGATCTGCCCTCCCAGCGCCTTGATCCGCTCTCCTCGCGCTCAGATCTGCAATTCCAGCATCCAGATCTACTCCTCCCGCGCCCAGATCTACTCCTCCTGCACCCAGATCTGCACATTTCGTTACCAGATCTGCATTCCGCGCATCCAGATCTGCACTCAGCGCGACCAGATCTGCATTCCGCGCGACCAGATCTGCATTCCGCGCGACCAGATCTGCATTCCGCGCGACCAGATCTGCATTCCGCGCGACCAGATCTGCATTCCGCGCGACCAGATCTGCACTCCGCGCGACCAGATCTGCACTCAGCGCGACCAGATCTGGATTCCGCGCATCCAAATCTGCGCTCTGCGCGCCCAGATCTGCACACCTCGCGACCAGATCTGCACTTTCCGCGCCCAGATCCACTCCTCCCGCGCTCGGATCTGCCACAGGGCTGCCCTCCTCGTCCCTACCCACAGCAGCATCATCAGCGGCATCTGCAGCGACGCCAACAGCAGCACCCTTCCCCCTGCCTTCCCCATAACATCGCTCCCCCCCTCCTCCTCCTCCACCTTCCCCCACCTTCCGCTCTTCCCTTCCTCCTCCCATCCTACGAGCAGCAGGACCAGCAGCGGCAGCAGCGGCACCAGCAGCAGGACCAGCAGCGGCACCAGCAGCAGGACCAGCAGCGGCACCAGCACCGGGACCAGCAGCGGCACCAGCAGCGGGACCAGCAGCGGCACCAGCAGCAGGACCAGCAGCGGCACCAGCAGCAGGACCAGCAGCGGCACCAGCAGCAGGACCAGCAGCGGCACCAGTAGCAGGACCAGCAGCGCCACCAGCAGCGGTACCCTCGCCCCATCCTCCTCCTGCCCTTGTTTCCACCCACCCTCGTCTCTATGGCATCGTCGGATTCTTCCGTCGACCTTGCTACTGTTGATGCACTCGAGTTGCTACCCGACAACACTGCTGCTAATTGGCACTCCTACGCTCACTCGGTCGAGGTTCTCCTCTCCTCTGTTGTGATCAGCGGCTACAACCTTCGCTCGGTTGTCTTCCAGGAAGGTGGTGGACTTCAGCCCGTGGCCCCCACCGCTCCCACTGGACATGTCCCCACCGGAGCCGAGCCCTCTCCCCCTGGTGATCCTCCCACCTTTGCACCGAATGTCAACGATCCGCAAAGCTCGGAGACCGCCATCCGCACCTACCGCACCAATCTCCAAGAGCACCTGCGCCAGCAATTGCGTTACGAGGACGAGAAGCGCATTTATGACGACGCCGCTGCCCGCTACAGCAAGTACCAGGAGGACCTTGACACCTACACCACAGACCTTGCCAACTACACCACGAAAATCACTGCCTGGCGAGTTGCCGATCGGCGCGCGCTTGCCATTCTTCTTGCCACCGTCCCCTCCTCCCTCAAACGCGAGCTCTCACCTACCTCCTCCTCCCACCTGTGGCGACTCCTCGTCGACCTTTTCGATCGGCAAGACGTTGCCACCCTCTACGCCCTCATCAAAGAATTTGGCACTCTCTCCATGGACTCCACTACTGGAGCCGCTGCCTTCACTCGCTGTGTCCTAGACCTTGCTCGGCGCCTTGCGGCACTCGATGTGGTGTACCCGGACACTGTCATCTGTTGCCACCTCCTCGAGGGCCTCACACCTACCTTCGACGCTCACAAGCTTGCCTACATGCAGCTTCTCTCCAAGCACCATACCCCTGCTGAAGTCGCTCAGTGGATTATCACCACCGAAGCCGAGATCCTTCGCCACTCTACCTCCACAGTCGCAGTAGCTCAGCTGCGCAGCAGCAGAGGTGGGCGTGGCGGTGGGCGTGGGGGTGGGCGTGGTGGTGGGCGTGGGGGTGGACGAGGCGGATCACCGGGTCGCGGTGGCAGTGGTAGCGATGGTGCGGGTCGCGGTGCGGCAGCTGCCTTTCCTCTCTGTCAGTACCTGCCTCGCTACGGTCCCACTCAGGGACAGCGCTGCGGCCAAACCACTCATGCTACAGAAACATGCTTCAAGGCACTCAGTGATGAGTGGTTTTCCCGTGGCAACACCGGCACCCCTCCTCGCTGGTCTGCCCTCAACCCACGCCCCACTCCCCTTGAAGTCCGTTCCTCTCCCCTCTATGAGCCTTCCTCCTCCACCCAGGCCCACCAGGCCCTTGCCCCTCCCCAGCAGCAACAGCAGCAGCAGCAGCAGCAGCTTGGGAGTCAGCAGCAGGGGTTACAGCAGTATGGGCAGCAGCTTCTCCTTTCTCAACTCCAGCAGCAGCTCCAGCATCTCCAGCAGCAGCTCGACCTACAGCCGCAGCTGCCCCTCCTCCCTCCTCCCGTTTCCCAGCAGCAGCCCTTTCCTACCTGGACTGCCGGGAGTGCTGCCTCCGCAGCCCATCTCTCGGGTGCATCTCCAGCGCCGTCTGCAGGTGGCAGTGTGACCGCTTTCCCCTCTTCTGGTTTTGTCGGTTTGCTAGGTCAACCTGAATCTGTTGCATCTCCCATGTACCCTTCCTCTGTTAATGCAACTTCGTTCCAGTACTCTGCCTCACCCTCCTCCACCCTTGACTTCGTCCTGGACAGTAGAGCCACTGACACTGTCCTTCGTGATGCTGGTACACTGCGCCCTCTCCCCACACCCACCTCCCTCCTCGGTGCTGATAGCAGTTTTTCTATCCCCTGTCACAACACTTCCACCCTTGCCTGTCCTCTTTTTCCCTCAGGTACTGTCACCGGTCTCCACATTCCCTCCCTACGCACTAACCTCCTCTCCCAAAGGTCCCTCCAACAAGCCAATATCACCACTGTCTTCCCAGGTGGTGCTAACTACTGTGCCCTTTACAATACTACTACAGGTCGCCTTCTCTCTCGTATTCCCTTCTGTCCTCGTTCCCGTTTGTACACCCTTCGGATTCCCCACCCCCCCATCTGCCAAGTCGCCTCTCCCTCTCTCCTCCCTCCCCCTCCCCTCCCTCCCACTAACCCACCCTCCCTCCCCGCCCCCTTGACTCTGACTGCTCCTGTCGCTCCCTCTCCCACCCTACCATCCTCCTCCATCACAAGCTAGGTCACCCTAACTTCGCTACTCTGCGCTCCTCTGTCTCCTCCGGTCTCCTCCACGGTCTCCCCTCCTCCCTCCCTCCCCTCCCAAAATCCCCTGCCCCCCCTTGCACTGTCTGCGTTCAGAGCAAGCTCAAGCAGCAGCCGCACCGGAGCTCCCCCTCCACTGCTGCACAGCCACTTGACCTTGTTCACATGGACCTCTGGGGCCCTAATCCCTCTCCCACTCGCCAGGGCCATCGCTACCTTCTCGTGCTCGTTGATGATCACAGTCGGTACTCGTCCGTCTCTCTCCTTCGGACAAAGGCGGACGCCCTGGCTGCGATCATCGCCTGGCTCGAGCAGGCAAACACCCATTTTGGGCGCCCTGTTCGCCGCCTTCATTCTGATGGTGGTGGTGAGTTCTTTAACAACCAAGTCTCCTCCTATTGTCAGTCTCGTGGCATTCTTCAGACTTACACCCTCCCTCACTCCCCACAGCAGAACGGTGTGGCTGAGAGTCGTGTTCGAGACATCACCAAAACAGCCCGGTGTCTTCTTGTCCACGCCTCCTGCCCCTCTTCTCTGTGGGGCTACGCCCTCCTTCATGCCGCCCTCCTTACTAACCTTTACCCTCACCCCCTTCTCCCTTCCACCACCCCCACTGAGCTGTGGACAAAGGACAAGCCTGATGTCTCATCTCTTCGTGTCTGGGGCTCAAAGACATATGTCCTTATTCATCCCTCTGACCGCTCCCACTCCATGGGAAAGCTTGCCCCTCGCACCCTTCCGTGCATCTTCCTTGGTCATAACCCTACCTCACCTGACTACCTTTTCCTCCATCCCCCCTCAGGTCGTCTAGTCCGCAGTAGGGATGTGGTCTTTGATGAGTCCACTCCCTACTACTCCTCTCCCCCATCCACTGACCCACCCCCCCCTCTCACCCGTCCCCTTGTCTGGTCTGACACCACCCCTCCCCCATTACTCCCTCCTCCCCCCATCCTCCCGCCTCCCCCCCCTCCGTCGTCCCCGTCCCACGGTGCCCCTCCCTCGTCTGGTGATATCTTTGACCCGGAACCTCTGTCCTCTCCGGTCTCCCCCACACATTCCTCTCCCAGTGCCCCTCCCCCCCTCCTCTCCCCTCCCTCGCCACCGACCCGTCCTTCCCCTCCTCCCCGTACCGTACTTACCCGGTACCCCCATACCAGGTCATGTGACGGTATCCTTGGTGCACCGCCCCCTGTTACCCTCTCTTCCTCTACCCTCCCCCCTCTCTCCCCTCTCCTTCACCACTTCTTCCAGGCTGTTTTGCATCAACCTCCTCCTGCATCAGCCCCCTCTGCCTCCTCTCCCTCACCAGCAGCAGCGTTCGCAACGGCACCAGCAGCTGCACCAGCAGCAGGACCAGCAGCAGGACCAGCAGCGGCACCAGCAGCAGGACCAGCAGCGGCACCAGCAGCGGCACCAGCAGCGGCACCAGCAGCGGCACCATCATCGGCACCAGCAGTGGCACCAGCAGCAGCACCAGCACCCATCCCCGCCTTCCACACCTCCCTCTCTGAGGACTCCCATGAAGAGTTCCTTGACCTCCACCTCTGTAACCCCTCGCTTCTACCCATCACATTCGACCTCTCCGGCACACCCGTCTTCGCCTTCTCCTCTGCTCCCTCAGTTTTCATCCCTACAACGTATGCGGAGGCAATGGCTTGCCCCGACGCCCCTCTTTGGCTCGCCGCCATCATCAAGGAGCTGGAGACCTTTATCGCCAACTCCTCCTTCGTTGATGTGCCTCGCCCTCCCGCCTCTACGAACGTGGTGAAGGGGAAGTGGGTGTTTCGCGTCAAGCAGCTGCCAGGGGAGCCGCCCGTCTACAAGGCTCGTTACTGTGCCAAGGGCTTCACGCAGCGGTATGCTGTTGACTTCTTCAATACTTTCTCCCCTACCGCCAAACCTGCTACCATTCGAGTCGTGCTCGACCTCGCCGCTCGCCTAAATATGGAGATCCACTCGATGGACGTTTCTAACGCCTTTCTGCAAGGCGTCCTCCGCGAGCTAATCTACATGGAGCGTCCAGCCGGCTTTCACCTTCCCTTCCCAGCTAACTCTGTCTGGCAGCTGCGTCGACCTGTGTATGGGCTCCGACAGGCCCCTAGGGAGTGGCATGCTAAGCTTGCCGCCACCCTTGCTGAACTTGGTTTTCGCACCTCCCGCTCCGACGCCAGCCTCTTCCTCCGCGCCTCCCCCTCCCCCTTCTACATCCTTGTGTATGTCGATGACATGATTCTTCTCACCGCCGACCTTGCTGAGCTGGAGAGTGTTAAGGCTGAGTTGGGTAGTCGTCTCAAGTGCAAGGACTTGGGAGAGCTGCAGCATTACCTGGGCATGACCATCACCCGCGATCGCTCCGCCCGCACCATCTCTCTCTCCCAGGGTCATTACTTGCAGCAGGTCTTGGAGCGGTTTGACATGGCCCGGGGCGGTGCCCAACATACTCCTCTTTCTGTCGGGCACCACCTCTCTCCACCCACCTCCCCCTCAACCTCCTCCCATCCTTATCCCGAGCTCGTCGGCTCCCTCATGTACGCCATGGTCTCCACTCGCCCTGACCTTGCCTACCCCATCAGCGTCCTCGCTCGTTTTGTTGGCGCAGGCAACCATACGGAAGAGCACTGGCAGGCCGCCAAACGTGTCCTCCGGTACCTTCGTGGCACCAAGGACTATGTCCTTACCCTTGGCGGCCCCTCCCCACCTCTCCTCAGCGGCTACAGTGACTCCTCCTGGGCTGATTCTCGGCCGAATCGTCACTCCTCACAGGGCTATGGCTTCTCTCTTGGCAGCGGCCTTATTAGCTGGCGCTCCACCCGCTCCTCGGCTATCGCCCTCTCCTCCTGCGAGGCGGAGTTGTATGCCGCTACCATGGCTGCGCAAGAGGCCCGCTGGCTCACCTTCCTTCTTGAGGAACTTGGTGCCCCCCAGCGCTGTCCCACCATCTGGTGTGACAATGCCAGTACTATTCACCTCACGAAGGATGCTGTGTTTCACGGGCGCTCCAAGCACATTGAGCTCCGTCATTTCTTCATTCGCGATCTTGTTCAGGCGGGGCACCTTCGGCTCGACAAGATTGACTCGGCGACCAACCTTGCCGACATCTTCACAAAAGCTCTTCCTCATGCGGCTCACTCTTCACTACTTCATCTCCTCGGCCTCACTCCTCCTAAGTCGTCTCCCGCCTCTTGATTCTAGCCTTCTAGCCTTATGCATGTTGGGGGGTTGTGTTGTAATTTCATATCTTTTACAACATACATAGGCTAGAATTAGATGTGTAGCACATTTATAAATTGGGGGGTTGTTTAGTGTACCCTCGAACCACATTTTGTGGTTGGTTGGGATTGGTCCTTAACTCAACCAATCCCAACCAACACACATTTGTGGTTGCTTGGGCCACAAGCAAGCTCACCCATTGGTCAACATATTGACCAATCGGGTAAGCTTCCCTCTCATCTTTCTTGCTCATTGTTTGTACTAAAGGGCCTCTTGGCTCATTATTCAATTGATCAATTCTCTCCTTCAACATTTACTCCCCCTCTGCACACCCTCCCCTGCTTTCACTTGCTATCCCAGGAACAATACAGGATTGGCAGGTGCTGAGATCTTTACTCCCCCTCTGCACACCCTCCCCTGCTCTCACTTGCTATCACAGGAACAATGCAGGATTGGCAGCTGATTTTGAGTCGACTCAAAAGCAGACGATGCATGGTTGGCAGCCGATGCATGGTTGGCAGCCGATGCATGGTTGGCAGCCGATGTATGGTTGGCAGCCGATGCATGGTTGGCAGCCGATGCATGGTTGGCAGCCGATGCATGGTTGGCAGACGATGCATGGTTGGCAGACGATGCATGGTTGGCAGCCGATGCATGGTTGGCTGCCGATGCATGGTTGGCAGACGTTGCATGGTTGGCAGACGATGCATGGTTGGCAGACAATGCGTGGTTGGCAGACGATGCATGGTTGGCAGACGATGCATGGTTGGCAGCCAATGCATGGTTGGCAGACGATGCATGGTTGGCAGACGATGCATGGTTGGCAGACGATGCATGGTTGGCAAACGATGCATGGTTGGCAGACGATGCATGGTTGGCAGACGATGGATGGTTGGCAGACGATGCATGGTTGGCAGCCGATGCATGGGTGGCAGGCGATGCATGGTTGGCAGACGATGCATGGTTTGCAGACGATGCATGGTTGGCAGCCGATGCATGGTTGGCAGACGATGCATGGTTGGCAGACGATGCATGGTTGGCAGACGATGCATGTTTGGCAGCCGATGCATGGTTGGCAGACAATGCATGGTTGGCAGATGATGCATGGTTGGCAGACGATGCATGGTTGGCAGACGATGCATGGTTGGCAGACGATGCATGGTTGGCAGCCGATGCATGGTTGGCAGCCGATGCATGGTTGGCAGACGTTGCATGGTTGGCAGACGATGCATGGTTGGCAGACAATGCGTGGTTGGCAGACGATGCATGGTTGGCAGACGATGCATGGTTGGCAGACGATGCATGGTTGGCAGACGATGCATGGTTGGCAGACGATGCATGGTTGGCAGACGATGCATGGTTGGCAGACGATGCATGGTTGGCAGACGATGCAGGTTTGGCAGACGATGCATGGTTGGCAGACGATGCATGGTTGGCAGACGATGCATGGTTGGCAGACGATGCATGGTTGGCAGATGATGCATGGTTGGCAGACGATGCATGGTTGGCAGACGATGCATGGTTGGCAGACGATGCATGGTTGGCAGACGATGCATGGTTGGCAGACGATGCATGGTTGGCAGACGATGCATGGTTGGCAGCCGATGCATGGTTGGCAGACGATGCATGGTTGGCACACGATGCATGGTTGGCAGACGATGCATGGTTGGCAGACGATGCATGGTTGGCAGACGATGCATGGTTGGCAGACGATGCATGGTTGGCAGACGATGCATGGTTGGCAGACGATGCATGGTTGGCAGACGATGCATGGTTGGCAGACGATGCATGGTTGGCAGACGATGCGTGGTTGGCAGACGATGCATGGTTGGCAGACGATGCATGGTTGGCAGACGATGCATGGTTGGCAGACGATGCATGGTTGGCAGCCGATGAGGACTCCCCTTCTTCTCCTCCCCTCCCCTTAATCCCCCTTCCCCCCACCAATCTCCACCCTCAATCCTGCCCACCCCTGCCTTTGCTTGCTGACGCTTGCTATATCAGGAACGATGCAGGACTGGCAGCTGCTGAGCTCTTTACTCTCCCTCCGCACTCCCCCCCTCTTCCTCACCTCCCCCTCATCCCTCTCCTTACCTCCCGCCAAGCGCCCCCTGTTCTTGCTGTCACTTGCTATCCCAGGAATGATGCGGGACTGGCAGCTGCTGAGCTCTCATTGGCTGTTGAGGCTGCTGTGCTGGCGACCAAGGCAGACGACACAGTGGGGACCACAGGTATACCCCAGAAAACCACAGCTATTTCACAAATATACCCTTAAAAACAACAGGAATGCCACAGGTATATCCCAGGTACTAGTGAGTGAGTGATGCGTGTGCTATGTGTGCCCCCCACACCTATGGAACAGAGACCATTGGACACATGCAATTGATTCTTTCTCCTTACCCCGGATTCTGCTCTGTTTCATGCCATGCCATACCATGCCATGCCATGCCATGCCATGCCATCCCACGTCATCCCATACCACGTCATGCCATCCCATACCACCCCCCTCACAGGGCCCCTCATTCTTCAGCCCAACGCAGTGAACAGCGCCCCTCCCACCTCACCCTTAGTTACCCCTTTCCCTTTTCCTACTCCCAACCATTGCCGCACTCCCATGCCCCCTCCACTCCCACGCCCCCTCCACTCCCACGCCCCCTCCACTCCCACGCCCCCTCCACTCCCACGCCCCCTCCACTCCCACGCCCCCTCCACTCCCACGCCCCCTCCACTCCCACGCCCCCTCCACTCCCACGCCCCCTCCACTCCCACGCCCCCTCCACTCCCATGCCCCCTCCACCACACCCAGGGCGCCTCATTCTTCAGCCCAACGCAGTGAACAGTGTGCCTCGCCATGCACACTTGGAAATTGGTGAGCGGTTGAAAGGGATGGCGAGTGGTTGAAAGGGATGGTGAGTGGTTGAAAGTGCTGGTGAGTTTTAAAAGGATTTTACGGTGGGAAGTTGGTGCATGTAGGTTGGCGATATTTGTGTAGACATTAAAAAAGTCCAGCAGATTTCGGGGAAAAATAAAATAAACATACGGGCACATGATTTTTGTATCACCCTGAACATTGGGTGCATGTTTGGGATTCACCCTTCTCATTCTCCCTCCCAACTACCCTCCCACCAATCTATCACCTCAACTTTGCTCTGCTGATGCTGCTGCTGTCACCACCGCCGCTGCTGCTGCAGACATTCGAGACATTAACGAGGCACGGCGGGATGGCGTGGTGTGGGCAGTCAGTGAATCCTCCCCTGTTACCCCACTTTCCCCTGCCCCCGACAAACTGTGGCCCATCTCTTCCTGCCGGCACTGCTGCTGCAGACATTCGAGACATTAACGAGGCCAGGCGAGATGGCGTGGTGTGGGCAGTCAGTGAATCCCCTATAACCCCACTTTCCCCTCCCACTGCCAATATGTTCCCCATCACTTCTTGCTTCTACTGCTGCTGCAGACATTCGAGACATTAACGAGGCGAGGCGAGATGGCGTGGTTTCAAAAGTCATGGCGGCTGCCAGGAGCATTGCCGCCAGACGGAAAGTGAAGGTGGAGAGGTGAGGGAAGGAGAGAAGGGAGTAGGTGTTTTATGGGAGGGTTATGGTGGCGCAATGGAGGAAAGGCGTGGTTTCAAAAGTCATGGCCGCTGCCAGGAGCATTGCTGGCTGACGGAGAGTGAAGCTGGAGAGGTGAGGGAGGGGGAGTGGGGAGGCGATGAGTGAGAGTGCCAAAAGTCGTGAAGGCCGCCAGGAGCATTGCTGGCAGACGGAGAGTGAAGCTGGAGAGGTGAGGGAGGGGGAGGGGGGAGGAGATGAGTGAGAGTGCCAAAAGTCGTGAAGGCCGCCAGGAGCATTGCTGGCAGACGGAGAGTGAAGCTGGAGAGGTGAGGGAGGGGGAGGGGGGAGGAGATGAGTGAGAGTGCCAAAAGTCGTGAAGGCCGCCAGGAGCATTGCTGGCAGACAGAGAGTGAAGCTGGAGAGGTGAGGGAAGGGAGGGAAGGGAGTGAGTGTTTTATGGTAGAAGTATGGTGGTGCAAGGGAGGAAAGGTGTGGTTTCAAAAGTCATGGCCGCTGTCAGGCGTGGTTATGGCCACTGCCAGGCGTGGTGATGACCGCTGTCAGGCATGGTTATGGCCGCTGCCAGGCATGAGCTCTCCCGTTGTGTAAGGGAGTCGTGGCCGCTGCCAGGCGTGAGTCGACTCAAAACACGACCCAGGCGCGAGCTCTCCCGTCGTTCCTCCCTCCCCCCTCACCTTCCCGTTTTTCACATCTCCCCCTTTCTCTCCAGTCTCCCTCTTTCTCTCACGTCTCACTCTTCCCGCTTCTGACCACCCCCGGCTGGCCAGAATGGAGCTGGTCAATGCCGACCCGCCCGCCCAGTGCAGCAGCATAGTGACGTCAGCAGTTTTGTCTTCAGTGCAGGAGCTGGGACTGAGCCACCTGCGAATGGTCAGCCGGGCGTATCACGACGCACTGTTCATGGCGAGGTGCGTTACTGTTCATGCCAACGGTTCATGTGGTATGGCGACTGTTTATGACAGTGTTAAACACTGTTCATGGCAATGTGCGTTACTGTTCACACATTGCTAACATCAGCCAATTCTCATGGAATACTGTTCATGTGCTACTGTTCATGTGCTACTGTTCACCAGTTATCATTTATGGGCTACTGTCCCTGTCCCACTACCCCATGCATAATTTTCTCTCCTTTCTCACCAGATGTCTCCCATCTTCCGGCCCTTCCCACCCCTCTCCCTCCGCTTTCTATCCATCCTAACCACAGCGTGGCGCCAACAGGCGTGGTCTTCATTCCGTGCCATGGAGGTGAGCAGGTCTATATGAACGGAGGGATTCCTCTGCTCATCCTCCACTCTCTCCTTCCTTCTCCTCCCTTCCCCCTGCCCCCTCTGTCCTTGCATCCGAACCACAGAGTAGCTCCAACGGGCATGATCTTCATTCCGTGCCGAGGAGGTGAGCTTGTCGTGTCTTGTTCCTAACTCATTTATCTTTATTCGCTCCCGCACTCCGTGTTCAAAAATAGCAATAATAGCCTTTTCATATTGATAACAGTGAAAAACATTTAAAAAAAAACTAACTGTAATAGTAATAACAATAATAACAAGTGCTTCCTGCTTCTTTCCCATCTGTTTTCCCTCCTTTCGTTGCTTTCTGCCTCTCCCTGCTTCCCTCAGGTGTGAGCCACAGGCCAGATGCATTCACTTGCCAGAAGGCCAGCCTGGCCAACGGTGTGCGTGTGCTCTCTCTCACCCTGTCCAATCCCTCGCTCCCTTCTAGAACCCTTCTTTTCCGTTCCTTGTCTCCCTGCTTCCCTCAGGTGTAAGCCACCGGCCAGATGCGTTCACATCAAAGGCCAACCCAGCCAACGGTGTGCGTGTGCTCGCCCTCACCCTCGCCAAGCCCTTACTCCCTTTGCCCCTTCCCTTGCTCCTTTCCATTCCCTTCTTTACCCTGTGCTTCCCTCAGGAGTGAGCCACCGCTCGGAAGAGTTTACATCAAAGGCCAACCTGGCCAACGGTGTGCGTGTATGGTGTAACCCTCATGAAGCCCTCCCTTCCTTCTTCCCTCCCTGACCTTTCTGTTCCGTTCCTTAACTGTCTGCATCCCACAGGTGTGAGCCACCGCCCGGATGAGTTCACGTCAAAGGCCAACCTGGCCAACGGTGTGGGTTTGCCCGCCCTCACCTCACCGTCATCATTCCCTTGCTTCCTTCATGAACCTTCCTACTCCGTTATTTCACTCCCTGCTTCCATTAGGGGTGAGCCACTGCCCGGATGAGCTCACATCAAAGGCCAACCTGGCCAACGGTGTGGGTGTGCTCGCCCTCACACTCGCCAACCCCTTGCTCCTTTTCTCAACCCTTGTATTTGATTCCTTGTCTCCCTTCTCCCCTCATCAGGTGTAAGCCGTCAGCCAGATGAGCTCACATCAAAGGCCAACCTGGCCAACGGTGTGGGTGTGCTCGCCCTCACACTCGCCAACCCCTTGCTCCTTTTCTCAACCCTTGTATTTGATTCCTTGTCTCCCTTCTCCCCTCATCAGGTGTAAGCTGTCAACCAGATGAGCTCACATCAAAGGCCAACCTGGCCAACAGTGTGGGTGTGCTCGCCCTCACACTCGCCAACCCCTTGCTTCCTTGCTCCCATCGCCTTGCTCCCTTCTATCCCTTTCCTTGCCTCCCTCCCTGCCAGAGGTGTGAGTTACCGTCCAGATGAGTTCACGTCAAAGGCCCACCTGGCCGACAGTGTGGGCGTGTGCTCAAGTGGGCGTGTGCTCAAGTGGGCGTGTGCTCAAGTGGGCGTGTGCTCAAGTGGGCGTGTGCTCAAGTGGGCCCCAGTTAGGTGCCATGACTTTACGTGGCAGCAACTATGTTGTTTACACCCCCTTGGGTAAAAATATGTGCCAACGGTGTGGGCGTGTGCTCACATGCTCCCTTGCCAAGCCCTGTCTTCCTTTGCTAACCCTTGTATTTCGTTCTGTTCCTTGACTCCCTGCTTCCCTCAGGAGTGAGCCACCGTCCAGATGAGTTCACGTCAAAGGCCCACCTGGCCAACGGTGTGGGCGTGCTCGCCCTCACACTCGCCAAGCTCTCACTCCAGTGACATCTGCTGTGACATCTGCTGTGACATCTGCTGTGGCATCTGCTGTGACATCTGCTGTGGCATCTGCTGTGACATCTGCTGTGGCATCTGCAGTGACATCTGCTGTGACATCTGCTGTGACATCTGCTGTGGCATCTGCTGTGACATCTGCTGTGACATCTGCTGTGACATCTGCTGTGACATCTGCTGTGACATCTGCTGTGACATCTGCTGTGACATCTGCTGTGGCATCTGCTGTGACATCTGCTGTGACATCTGCTGTGACATCTGCTGTGACATCTGCTGTGGCATCTGCTGTGACATCTGCTGTGACATCTGCTGTGACATCTGCTGTGGCATCTGCTGTGACATCTGCTGTGGCATCTGCTGTGACATCTGCTGTGGCATCTGCAGTGACATCTGCTGTGACATCTGCTGTGACATCTGCTGTGACATCTGCTGTGACATCTGCTGTGACATCTGCTGTGACATCTGCTGTGACATCTGCTGTGACATCTGCTGTGGCATCTGCTGTGACATCTGCTGTGACATCTGCTGTGACATCTGCTGTGACATCTGCTGTGGCATCTGCTGTGACATCTGCTGTGGCATCTGCAGTGACATCTGCTGTGACATCTGCTGTGACATCTGCTATGACATCTGCTGTGGCATCTGCTGTGACATCTGCTGTGACATCTGCTGTGGCATCTGCAGTCACATCGATGCAAAGCTCCTGCTGTGTTGATATCTGTATGATGAGGTACAAACATTCCAATGGCCAATTAGTGTTGGAAAGTGCCTTGCGTAAACGCTCGGTGTGTACAGGATTGATTGCTTGTGTTCAGAGTCCTCTCCTGTTGCGTTGCTAGTTGTACGATATGGTGTAACAAGCATGAAAAATTCGGCCAAGGTATGTATGATTATACAATTGCACATCTGATACCGTACCGTCAGCCCCGGGATAGAAGCGCCCCTGGGGATGTAAAAAAACACTGTTTTTTTAGGGGGTGCGCTTATAATCGAGGATTTTTATAAGCGCCGGCGCTTATATAATGACATTTATGAAATGCGCATTTCTGACACCAAATTGTAAATCACGTTCCTGCGATTTAAATCTAGTCGAAACTATAGAGGGCTGGAATTGAGAATCTCGCGCCAATTGGCAGGGAATGATTCCCTGCCAACACACAAAGTCAGAATGAGTCAACATACGCTGCCGACAGCTCATTCAGCCTGGACGCGCAGGCAATGAGCCGAGCGAGGTGAAGGGCATCGAATTGAAATTCAATAATGTGGGAATGGAAAATGTGACTTTCGTTACAACGATTTCAGCACAATTATAGCAAAAACAAACACAGGGTGGCACTTATAACCAGTAAGCCTTCAGGGGTGGGCTTATAATCGAGGACCGGATATAAGCGCCGTCATCCTTCTATAAGCGCTGACGTTTATCCGAGGCCTGCGCTTATATCCGGGGGCTTACGGTATGTCTTATTGTGCACCATTTCCTATACAGTAATTGGTGGAAGGAAAGGAAGGAATACACTAGATCCAGCTTTTAGGTGTTGGTTTGGGCAGGTCGTACATTTACCATTAACACTTTATCAGACCGTGAAACTGGGTCTTTGAGGTTGACTGTTTTTTGTCAGAATATTGAACGAGAATGATTGCATTGAACAGAAAGTTGGGTACAAGTAATAACTCTAATTGGGTTGTACCCCTTATGGGCTACCACACTACAGCCTACACAAATGTATAAGCTATCATGTTCTGACACACCCCCATAGGCAAAGTGGGGGAGAACAAGTGGTCACAAGACCAGTCAAGAAAAGCAAAGCAAGCTCATGGTGGATCACGAAGTCACCACACATTCCGAGCACAAGCAAATGTCACAAGGCCAGTTCACATGCAGAGTTATATAAAAGAGAACAAACAGTACAGTGATCATACTCTAGCAAGAGTAAGCATGCAGGTAAATATATAGATCACAGTACTGTCGGAATCCCAACCACTAGACCATTGGGATAAAAGGGCTTGTTAAGTAGCGTGTCAGTGCGCCCACAACCCCCCAGGACAACGAGCCTGTAACCCTTCCCTTGAATCAATCGGGGATCACCAGTGGACCTCTGACACCCCCCCGCACTGAGATGCCCGAAGTGCACACACTGGGATTCGAACCCGAGACATTTGCTCTGATACCATGTCAGAATCCCAACCACTAGACCATTGGGATAAAAGGGCTTGTTAAGTAGCGGGTCAGTGCGCCCATAACCCCCAAGACAACAAGCCTGTAACCCTTCCCTAGAATCAATCGGGGATCACCAGTGGAACCCTGACAAGTACAAGCAAGGTCACACAATGAGCAAGTGAGGCAAAGTAGGCACACGGCCTAAAACAATACAGAAACGCTGATGATCACCAGACTGAAGTGCCTTGGTGAATATATCAGCAGTATTGGCCCGTCTGGCCACGTAAGCAAGACGAAGCTGACCACGCTGCTGCAGCTCTCGAGCAAGGAAGTAACGCAGAGCGATGTGCTTCGTTCAGTGCTCCAGATTGTGCTCCTGACACAAGGCAATCATGGCCTTGTTGTCTACGTACAGAACTGGAGAAGAACGAGGCCGCTCTCCCAAGTCGGTCAGCAGGTAGGTGAGCCAGCGTAACTCATGTGCAGCCATGGCCCCTGCGTAGATCTGAGCCTCACAACTGGAGCTGAGAACAGAAGACGAGCGGGTAGACCGCCAAGAGACAGAGCCGGAGCCAAGGCTGAAGGTGTAACCCTGTGACGACCGCTGCGTAGCCAAGTCGTCAACCCAAGAAGGGTCTGCGTGTCCAGTGAGGACAACTGGACCCCGTCCTCCAAGCACGAGCCCCATGCCCGAAGTACTGCACAAGTAGCGCAACACCTTCTTAGCGGCCTCCCAGTGTTCTAGTCGGTGTCTCCCGAGCGCAACGTAGCGTGCCAAGATGCTAAGAGGGTATGCAAGGTCAGGTCGAGTGCAGGTCATCAGGTACATGAGGCAGCCCACAAGCTCTGGATACGGGCCACTCGGCTCTACGGACTCGTCCGAAGGTGGAGCTGAGAGCGAGTGACCGGTAGGCAGAGGAGTGGACTGTGGCGAGGAGTACCGGAAGCCGAAGCGCTGAAGGACCTGGTGCACCATGTGTGAGTGAGTTAGGGTGATGGTGCGCCGAGCTCTGTCCCGGGTGATCTGCAAGCCAAGATAGCTGCGCAGCTCAACCAGGTCAGTGCAGGTGTGTCTCTTCTGTAGCTCCGACTTCACAAGGGCCAGTGCCTCAGTGTCAGCAGTGGTAAAGACCAAGTCGTCGACGTACATGAGGATGTAGAACGGCGGCAGCGAAGTGTCAGTGCGCAGAAACAGCGACGGGTCAGCAGTCGAAGGAGCAAACCCAAGAACCGCAAGTGTAGTCCTCAGTGTGTCGTGCCACTCGCGCAAGGGGAAGATCGTGGTGTAACGCGTATAAACGTCAACAACCAGCAGGAAGTAGCGCTCGTGGCCCTGTCCACTGACGCGGGCTGGGCCCCACACGTCCATGTGGAGATTCTGCAGGGGAGCAGTCGTCGGGGAAACGCGTTGTGAGGAGCGGCGCGCTGCCGCCCCTCGACGCAGGGAACGCAGGGCGGGGCAGGCGAGGGCGGGAGGGGAGGCAGAGACCTGGGAAGACCAGAAACAAGGAGGCGGGAGTGCATGCCACGAAGGCGTGGCAGGGAGGGGTGACCAAGGAGGTGGTGCAAAAGGAGAGTCTGGTGCGACAGGAGGCGACACGAGTAGGGGGGTGCTACCGGACCTGACGCGGACACATGGGCAGACGCAGCTACCTGAGGAGGCTCAGTAGTCAGTGTGTACAGACTCGACCCAGGCCGATGGGTGAATGTGGCCAGGTGACTGCCTGTCCGTGTACACGTGCAGATCGACACACGCTGACCCCCAGGAGTGGTGGTAGTGACCATCGCATCCTGGAGGGCAGCGGTACTCACCAAGTTCGTAGAGAACGAGGGGAGGTGAAGACCTGACAGTGAGCCGGACGGAACGGCCGGACACGGGAGAAGAGTGGAGGAACGGGCAAGAACTGGGCCCCCTGAGGGGTCAGCCAGTCTGACCGGTACATGTGCAAAGAGAGGAGTGAGGTTGGTACTGTCGCAAAAGAAACAGCGGGAAGCACCTGAGTCAAGCGTAAAGGTGTGCAAGACCTCAGCAGGTGCAGTACCAGGGAGAGCAGACTCACTAGCACCTAGAGGAGCAGCCTCTATACCTGGGTCAAGCGGCACACACAGGTAACAGTCACCCTCAGCACTAACAGACAAGGCATATATGGCAGCTAGGATAGCATCAAAGTCAAGAGCAAAGATATCAACTCCAGACCTAAGCAGCTCTGCCCAGCGGGGGCGCTCAGCCTCGTCACCAAACTCTGCGCGACAATCGTCGTCAAGGCGGGAGAAGCAGCGGTGCTGAGAGTGAAACTTCCCGCATGTCTAACCAGCAACACTACCCCCACCACTCCCACCGCTGCCACCACGGGCAGCGAACACTACCCCCAGACGCCCCACGCTGAGCAAACCACTCACGAAGCTGCTGGGGCGAAGGGGTCTCGCTCCGACGCTGCTGCTGCTTCCTCTGGCCACCGCCAGAACCTCCCCTCTGAACACCTCCACCCCGAATACCACCACTCCCACTGCCGCCACTACCGCCACCCCCACCGATGCCACCACCACCGCCACCGAAGCCCCCACTCCCGCCACCACTCCCACCGCTGCCACCACCTCCGCCACCTCCACCGCCTCCACTGCCGCCACCACCACCACCCCCGCTGCCACTGCCACCACTCTTTCCACCCTTGCCCTTGCTGCTGCGGCGCTTCCTACTAAGAGCAGAAGCAGCCCCGACATCCTCAGCACCAAGGATGTCAACAGCAGCAGCAGAAGCGTAGGAGGGGGCAAGGGGGGAGGGGGAACACCCCTCAAAGAAGGGTGTGCGAGGAGTGCCAGGAGCAGCACCTACAGCGATTACACAAGTCTCAGCCGCAAGGAGGTGCTGCTCGAGTAGGTCGACAGTGAGGTCTGTGGGATCAAGTGCGAGAAAGTGGTCCTTGACTGCGTGAAGAGAGTCAGGGAGGCGGGTAACTATGAAGTAGAGAGTGATGTACATCGGGGGCGGGTTCCTGTCAAGGAACTCTGCTGGGAGGGCAGCGCGGTAGCGAGCGTCGCTAGTGCGGAGGTGGGTAAGGAGGTCCTCGACTGTGGCAAAGGTGGACAGCTCGGGAAACAGGTAGGGCAGTATAAGGCGGCCTAGAGCAGCAGTGGCAGGGGAGGAGTAACGAGGGACTACAGCATCGTACAGCGCTTTAGCAGTCTTGTGCTGGCCAAAAGTGAGCGCGTTCGGCTAACGGCAGATGGTTGCAAACGGCTAAGCGAGAAGCAGCGTCACGGGTAAGCCACTGTGAGCGAGCCGCACTGTCAGCTGTGGCGGGAGGGGCGAGAGAGGCTCCAGACGTGTGGTCAAACAACGAAACGCTGTCTCTAGAAACGCTGTCTCAGTAGGTACAGCTGTAAGTCGTCGAGCCACGTATCGAACTGGATCGGACGACCCTCATGATCGAAGGTGAGTACACTGAGAGAAGCCATAGCGGGCAGAGCAGGGTGGCGCGCAACCAGCAGACCAGCACGCAGGCAGGGCGGTGCGCGAGCACTAGGGAAGCGCGCAGGGCAGGGCAGGGCGGCGCACGGCTAGGGCGGCCAGCAGGGCGGCGCACAGCAGGGCGGGCAGCAGCAGGGTGGCCCGGGCAGGAGGGCGGCGACCATTAGGGCTGCGCGCAGCTGGGTGGCGCAAGCAGGGCAGCTGGGCGGCGCACGGGTGCAAAGGGTGGCGAGCGGGCTGCCAGAGGGCGGCGCGCGGGCTGCTAGTGGCGGCGAGCGGGCTGCCAGAGGGCGGCGCGCGGGCTCCAAGGGGCGGCGAGCGGGCTGCCAGAGGGCGGCGCGCGGGCTGCAAGGGGCGGCGAGCGGGCGGCGAGCGGGCTGCAGGGGCGGCGAGTGGGCTGCAGACGGGCGGCGAGCGGGCTGCAGGGGCGGCGTGCGGGCTGCAGGGGCGGCTCGCGGGCTGCAGGGGCGGCGAGCGGGCTGCAGGGGCGGCGCGCGGGCTGCAAAGGGCGGCGCGACGGGCTGTAAAGGGCGGCGCGCGGGCTGCTAAGGGCGGCACAGCGGCAGCAGGGTGGCGCGACAGTTAGGGCAGGGCGGCAGGGCAACTAGTGGGGCAGCGCTCTGTGTTGGGCCTTAAAAAAAAATCGGTCCTAGAACAGGACTTGCTCTGAAACCATGTCAGAATATTGAACAAGAATGATTGCATTGAACAGAAAGTTGGGTACAAGTACTAACCCTAATTGTTGTGTACCCCTTATGGGCTACCCCACTACAGCCTACACAATATAAGCACTACGTATAAGAGTTTGACATTTTTCAATGTGACGCAATAAATTAGACTGCTGGAATGGGTGGGAGTGGGATCCTGACCTGACCACGCCCTTCTTGTTCTTAGTCATTTGGTTAATTTAAAGATAGCTTAGAAGCAATGCGGCAAAGCTATTTCACCCGATCACACCACAGGGCAGTGCAGAAACATCAGTTGAACATTACTGAACTACAGCCTACAGATGGTTATGATGCATATTAACATCTTCAGTACAGTATTGTTTTGAGACATCACACAAGAAGCTTGTTTTTAGGTCCGCTGTGACTCGTGAGTGAGCACATCAAGTCTCAGCTTTAGCAACCCCTGCAGCTCGAAAATTTCCACTGCCCTGACTCATTATTTTTGCCCGAGGGTTTCTCGTGTTGGTCGACGAACTTCCAGGCGGCGAAGGGACTTGTGGTGGGCTGGGGGCGGGTGGCGAAGGGGACTGCGTCACCAGAGGCGGGGGTAAATTACCCTGAAAATGATTTGAATTACCCTGGGAATGTTCCAAAGGCCCACCTGTGCTGTTTCCCCCTGTCAAGCCAACCCCTGCTTCCAGCCTCCCTCTGTCGGACGTGCCTCGTCCCCCTGCTGCTTGCCCCCTGCCCCCCCCACCTCCCCCTCCGCGTCCCCCACCTGCCGCTCCACCTGCTCCCCCTGCCCCTCTTCCTCCCCCTTCCCCCAACCCCCCTCCACCCCGTCCTCCTCCTCCCCCTCTTGCTCCTTCCCCTCCTCTCCCACCCCCTCCCCCTCTCCCACCACCTCCCCTCCCCACTCCATCTCTCCCTCCACTTCCTACTCCCCTTCCCCCACCTCTTCCGCCCCCCTCTCCCCTTCCGCCCCCTCCCCTCCGCCCATCTCCTCCCCCTTCTCCTCCCCCCCCTCCCCTCCCCCCAACACTCCCACGGCTAGAGGTGCTACTGGCAGGGCTACCCAACTGCCCCTCCCCTCCCCTCCCATTCATCCCCACCCCTCCTCCCCCTCCTCCTCCACTTCCTCCTCTTCCTCCGTCTCCTCCTCCTCCTCCTCTGCTCTGTCCCATACCCCCTCCTCTACCTCTGTCACTGGGATTCGCACCTTCCCTGTTACCACTCCCCATCTCCCTTCCAGCAGCACCAGGAGAGGGAGGGCCGGGAAGAGGGGCAGGTTGCTGCAAGGGGGGAGGGGGCGCTGCAGGGCTTCTCCTCCCACCCATACCTCCAGATTCCCCTGCTGCTGCTCCTACCCCTCCCGGTCCCTCTCTGTTGCCCCGCCCTGCTGCTCCTGCTCCTTCTCCTCCAGCTGCTGCTGCGGAGGCAGCAGACGCACCACCAGAACCACCACCAGCACCACCACCAGCAGCAGCGAGCCGTTCAAAACGGGCAAGGGCTTCGTCTGTAGACGCCTGCAGCAGCCGTTGCTGCTGCTGCTGCTGCTGCTGCTGCTGCTGCTCCCCCTGTCCCTGCATTGCACTTGTAGAAGATGCACCAGCAGCAGCATCACCAGAAGAACCAGCAGCAGCAGCCAGCCGCTCAAATCGGGCAAGAGCTTGGTCTGTTGACGCTTGCAACAGCTGCTGCTGCTGCAACGAGTTCATTGCACGCCCCCTCTCCCCCCCCAACTGGCCCCCCATTGCCCCCACACGCTCCCCCCCTCCCCCCCCAACTCCTGCTGTACCCCCACCCAGTAGTCCTTGCAAGCTCGCTAGCCCTGCCAAGCCCCTGCCCAAGCCGCCTAACCCCCCTGCTCCTCCTCCCCCTCCTCCTCCTCCCCCCGCTCCTCCTCCCCCCCCCGCTCCTCCTCCTCCCCCTCCTCCTCCCACACCCCCACCACCTCCCCCCACTCCTTCTCCCCCCAATCCCGCTCCTCCTCCTCCTGCTCCGCGCCCTACCATTCTTCCTCCCACTTCCCTTTCGAATCCCCCATTCATCCCACCCCCCATCCCATTTCCTCCACCCCCTCCTCCACCTAACAACCCTTGCAGACTAGCCAACCCCGCTAGCCCACTGCCCAACCCCCCTAATCCCCCTTTTTCCCCTCCTGCTGCCCCCCCTCCCCCTCCCCCTCCGCTTCCCCCTCCCTCTCCCCCTCCCCCTCCGCCTCCCCCTCCCTCTGACCCCCCCTGTCCTTCCCTCCCAAAGCCACTTCCCCCACCAATACTTAAACTCTTCCCACCAGCACTTAAATCCTCCTGCTTTCTGTCACGCTCCGGGCTCTTAGCACCAGCTACCGTACTCTCTATAGTCTGCTCCGCTAACCACACTCGCAGCGGATTCAGCCTCTTCTTCAATAAATCCTGTTCTGAAGTGACCTTAGAGGGAAAACCCAGAACGGACGACTGTGATTGGCCGGGAGGGGAAGTGGGGGATAGAGCTGCATTCCCTCCCCTAGAATACTCGTTAGAAGCCGCCTCTCTATAAGCACTCTCCGCACTGTCACCAGCCTCTAGTGAAATCTCGAAAAACACCCCCCCGCTTCCACTATCCGACACTCCAGCACTCGAATCAACACTCACTGCCCTCCCCCCTCCTTGCTCCTGCTCCTTCCCATCCCCACCCCTTTCGCCCCTCCCCTCACTCCCCCGACCAGCCCCTCCCCACTCCCCATTCCCCATACCCACATCCCTACCCCCTCCCGCACCACTGCTCCTCCCAAATGCCCCTCCTCCCTCGTCTCCACTCTCCCTGCTGCTTACTCCTCTCTCTCCCCTCTCTCCATCCTTACTAGACATAGAACCCAGAGGAGCAAGAGCAGCTAGCAAGTCCTCTTTAGAAATCGAGCCTCTCCGGTTCATACTTAATCCCCTAGGGAGGTCACTCTGCATGGAAACCGAACCACTTCCCATACCTCCTCCACCTCCTCCCGAACCTCCTCCCGAACCTCCTCCCGAACCTCCTCCCAGACCTACCAGGTTCCCTGCCGAGCGTCCCCCCGGACCTCCTGGCAAACCTCCTCCTGAGCCTCCTCCCAAACCAGCCAGGTTCTCTGCCGAACCTCCCAGCGGCCCTCCGAACCGCCTCAATCCGTCCTCCTCACTACTCACCACCTCTCTCCCTCCCGGACCTCCTCCATCCCCCCCTCTCCCTCTCCCTCTCCCTCCTTCCCCAACCGCCAAAGCAGCTGCCGCCGCCGCCGCCGCCGCCGCCGCTGCAGCAGCGGCATCCCTCTCTCTCTTCTCCCTCTCCTCCCTCTGAATCCTCGCCAATCGCTCTTCCATCCCCTCCTCCCACTCACTATCCGTCCCCTCCCACTCCGTCTCAGTCAATTCCCCCAGCGTTGACCCCCTCCTGTGCCTCCTCCGCCGCCCATACCCCGAACCTACAGCCATCTCCCCACCGAAGCTGTTTCCCAAGCCTCGGAGCAGGCCCGTGCCAAACCCGCCGAACCCGCCACCGCTGCCTGTACTGAGGGGACTACCCAAGGGGCTGCTGAGAGGGCTGCCTAGGGGGCTTCCGCCTAGGGGGCTTCCCCCTAAGGGGCTCCCCCCCAGGGGGCTTCCCCCAAGGGGACTTCCCCCCCGGGGACTCCCTAGGGGGCTGTGGAAGGGGCTTCCTCCTAATGGACTGCCCAGGGGTCCGTGTGCTATTAAAGAGGGCGTGGTAGAAGCACGACCATTAGAAGCACCACCCAGAGAAGCACCAGCAGCGATACTGTCCCCCAGCCCTAGCCCGAGGCTTATTTGACTCCCCAAACCGCCAGCCGTTCCTGCTGCCAAGCCTCCTGCTGCTGCTGCTACCGCCCCCCCACCAGTACCTCCCGAAAGTCGCCGGACGTGCGATGAGGCATGCTCGTGCCCATGCTCATGCTCACGCGTGTCTGTCGCTTCATTCCCCCTCATAAATCGGTCCCCCTCACCCTCCCTCCCCATTCCCAACCCCATGCCCATGCCCATGCCACTCCCACCCATACCTCCCCCCATACCTCCTCCCATACCTCCTCCCACACCTCCTCCCATACCTCCTCCCATGACTCCCCCCAAACCTCCCATCGAAGCTGCCGCCTTCTCAATCTCCGCCTTCATCATCTCTGCTGCCAACCCTAACCTCTTCTCCCGAGCCTGCTGCCGAGCCAGCTGCCGTTCCTCCCGCCGAAGCTCCAACTCCTGGTCCGTATCATACTCCTCCACCTCAACCTTCTTCTCCAGACGCCATAACCTCTCCTGCCTCTCCCTCCTCTTCGCCTCCTCCCTCTCCTCTCTCTCAGTGTCATAGTCTCCCTCTGTTGTTTCGCCCTCTGTGTTTGTATCGAGTCCCTTTTCCCGCCACCTGTCCAACCGCCCGTGAACACTTTCGTCGTCTGATGCGGAGATGTAACCGCCGCCCCCACCGCCGCCCACCCCGCCGCCCATGCCGCCGCCATATGACATGTAACCACCGCCCCCGGTGTTACCAGATGAAATGTAACCGCCGCCCGCTCCGCCAGATGACACATAACCGCCACCGCGCGTACCTGCGGAGATGTAACCGCTGCTGCTGCCATCGTCAGATGTAACCGTACTGCCGCCGATACCGTAACCCATAACTCCTTCTTGCTCCCTCAAACCACCTCCCCCAATCCCTCCTGCACTAGAAGCACCACCAGCACCTGTACCAGATTTACTGTCACTACCCCCTCCAAACCCACCACCACCAGCACCACCAGCACCACCACCGCCACCACCACCACCACCAGCGCCAGCACCTGCAGTATGCTCATCCCGCTCAGTACCAGTGCTGGCATTAGCAGCAGCAGCGTTGGCACCACCACCAGGGCCATTATCCCCAGGGAAAAACCCCCCAAAGGAGAGAGTACGGGCGGGGGGAGAGAGGGGAGAGAGCGGCGAGAGGGAGAGGACGGAGGAGGGGAGAGGAGAGAGAGGGGAGAGTGGGGAGAGAGGAGCGAGAGGAGAGTGAGGGACTGGGGACGGGGCTTCGGACGAGGATGCTGGAGAGGGGGGAGTGGCTAGGCCGGGACTTAGGCTAAATCCGGAGGACACGCTTCCTAGAGGGGAATTTGCTGCCGAGCCTGCTGCCGAGCCTCCGGCTGGTGAGGCTGTGCCGAAGCTGGGTGCGGCGGAGCTGGTTCGGGAGAGGAGGGATAAGCTGCCGGTCTTTCTATGAGCTACGATCCCTTCCCATCCTCCTGCCCATGCTCCTCCCCCCCCTCCTCCCCCTCCTCCCGCCCCTCCTCCTGACCCTCCAGCTCCTCCTGCTGCTCCCGCTCCTCCCCCTCCCCCTCCCCCTCCCCCTCCCCCTCCCCCTCCCCCTCCCCCTCCTCCTCCCTCCCCTGCTGCATCACCAACCCGGCCCAGAGTCAACCTGAGGAAATGAGGAGGAAGTATCCTCCCTCCCCCGACCCCAGAATTGGGCGGCGAAAGTGATGCGGTGCGAGTGATCCCAAGGGGACTGCCACCCAGAGGACTACCAGCCCTGGCAGCAGCAGCAGAAGCCCCGCCTTCCTCCATAAGAATGGAAGACATGAGACGAGGCACCCCTTCGCCTAGGCTGTGAATATTCGTACCACCACCACCGCCACCACTGCTACCGCCACTGTTGTTGCTAGGGTAATTCCCACCTGTCCCCCCTCCAAGAGGACTAGAACCAATACCACCCCCACCACCACCATCGCCAGCACCACCGCCAGCACCAGCAGCACCACCCCCACCCCCAGTGCGACCAGCCAATCCCGCCATCCCACTAAGGGTCCTCCCGAGGCCACTGGGAGGAGTCTCTTTCACAAACGCAGTCAGCTCCGCTTCACTCATCACCACCGAACCTGCCCCGCGGCCCGGCAGCCCCGAGCCAAACCTCCGAATTGGCAGGTTCGCCAGCTCAGGGTCGGTGGCCGGCAGCCACGGGACCTGCGGGCGGAGGTTCGGCGCGAGGGAGTGGTGGGAGCGGGAGGAGGGGGAACCAGGGGAGGGTGAACCGGGGGAGGTGGGACCAAGGGAAGTCCCCAGCATGTTGAGTCTGTCTACTGCGAATCTAGGATTCGCGCTGCCCCAGGTAAAGCCTCCCCCGGATCCACCCCGCAGGGCTGAGAGGTCTACTGAGGCGTGGCGGACGAGAGCAGAGGCGGCTAGGCGTTGGGCGGGGGAGCGATTGGCTGGGAGCTGGGAGCGTGGGGGAGGGGTGGGAACATGAAACGGCGTCCCTGCTTCTGCTGCTGCTGCTCCTCCACCTCCTCCTGCTCCTGTTGCCCCACTGCTGCCCTGCTTCTGCTGCTGGTGTTGCTGCTGCTCTCTACCCGGACTTACCACATTCCCTCCTCCCCCCCTCACACCCCCTCTCGGGCTCGAATCCCTCCCAGGAGAAGCACCGCCCCCAGATCTCACCTCCCCACCACCACCTCCCCCAGCAGAACCAGCAGCAGCAGCACTGCCCGCCCCCTCCTCAGCCCCACCTGCATTGGGTAGCAACCCTAAGTTCTTAGCCGCTTCCAACCGTTTCATTGCAACTAACTGGGCGGCAGCCAGTCCTCCGAACCCTCCGCCGCCGCCCAGCCCGCCGCTCATCTCCAGCAGCTCGGCAGGTGGCGCCGACATTTGCCGCCCGTGGAATCTCAGGCCGGGGGATAAAGACGCGGAAGCGGCAAAACCAGACCCCAAGCCCGAACCGAAAGCCGAACCGAAAGCCGAACCAAAACCCGAACCAAAAGCAGATCCCAGACCAGAACCGAAAGAGGAACTAGCAGGAGCAGGTGCTGCCGGTTTCTGCACTCTTTCCAGAGGGGTCCCTGCAAGCAACGGTGCCCCTCCTTCCTCCTCTCGTGCAGTTCCCGTTTTCCCCGCTTCCCCCCTCCCCCCCCGTTCCCCCCCCTCCCCCTGCTCCCCCAGAACCAGTCCCCCCCCTAGTAACACCCGCACCAGTTAATCCCTCGAACAAAGGAGACGGCGGGGGGGAGGTGGGCGACTCAAGAGGTGTACCCCCCCCTCCGCGCCCTCTCCCGCTACTCCTCTCCCCCGCACCTCCCCCTCCCCCTCCCCCTGCCCCCGCCCCCACCCCAGCAGCACGCGCTTCCAGCCGGGCTGTAGCGGCGGCGGTTGTAGCGGCAGCGTGGCCAGACGCGCCAGTGACAGCTGCTGCCGCGGCGAAGAGGGCTGCTTCTGCAGCGGAGGAAGTGCCGGCTGTAGCGCTGCGGCCTAGGGGGCTGGGGCGACGGGGTTTTTCAATGCGCGGGAAGATTGTCGCGAATACTGGCGGCTGCTCCTGCTCCTGCTGCTGCTGCTGGTGTTGCTGCTGTTGCTGGTGCTGCTGCTGTTGATGCTGCTGCTGTTGCTGCTGTTGCTGCTGTTGCTGGTGCTGCGGCTGCTGGTGCTGCTCCTGCTGGTGCTGCGGCTGCTGGTGCTGCTCATGCTGGTGCTGCTGCTGCTGCTGCTCGTGCTGTTGCTGGTGCTGGTGCTGGTGCTGCTGGTGTTGGTGCTGCTTCTGCTGCTGCTGTTGCTGTTGCTGCTGCTGCGGCTGTTTTTCCTGCTCCCTATGGTGCCCTAACGGGATAAAGCCTCTGAACCTCGTCTCCCTATCTTCCTCCTCCTCCTCTTCTTCCTCCTCCTCTTCCTCCTCCTCTTCCTCTTCCTCGTCTTCTCCTTCGAATAACCCATCGTTTTCCTCCTCCTCTTCCTCCTCCATTCCCTCACCATCCGAGCCGTATTGCACCGCCCCTCCGCGCTCATCGCCAGGGCGCATGCCATACAACCCTAACACTCGCGACTTTAATCTCTTAGTCCCCAATATATCCCCCTTACCTTCACTCCCCGAGTCGCCATCGAGCGAAAGCGCGGCCCAGCCATCGTCCGACACGTCATCCTCCCCAACTAACTCCGCCTCTCCCGCATCTTCCGCGTCGGATTGCGCAACATACAGCTTTATACCTTTCCCCGAGCCTCTCTTTTCATCCAGACACCCCCCGGCGTGTCGATCCGGCACTTTAACCTTAATCAACCTTACTCCTCCATCCCCCCACCACCCGCCTAAAGCCATTTCCGTCGCCCGCGCTCCCCCTGTCCCCCCCTTCCCTCCCGCGTCGCCTCCCCCGGACCGCCCCTTCTTCCCGCCATTCCGAATCGCAACCCTAGCCGCTGCTTCTATCGCGTCCGCTGCGTCTTCGAGCGCCGCGGCGGCGCGTTCCCCCATGCGCGCGCTCTCTTCGCGCGCTTTCTCCACGTCACGGAGGACACGTGTCATCTCCTCCTGTAGCCTGGCTGCCTCCCGCCTAGCCCGGGTCGCCAGCCCTGCAAGGAGCGCCACGTCCAAGAAATCGCCGCCCTGAACAGGCCGCAGCATGCCGTTAATCGGATGGCCTGCCTTTCTTCCCGTCCCCCCTCCCCCCACTTCCCCCGCGCCGTCCCCGCCGCTCCCAGTCCTGCCATGGCGGCTTCCCCCTCCGCCGCTGGTTCCGCGGGTTCGTTTCTCCGCCTTGTCTCCCCCCGAGATCCCCCTTTGCCACTGTTTGCGCAGTTGGTTTTCCGCGCGCTCAAGCTCTACGGTTTGCAGCGAAGCTGCTTGGATGATCTGTTTGTCGCCCAGCACAGCACGCTTCTCCCCCGGGAAGCTCCCTGCGATTGCTTCACGCGATGTTCTGTGCGAAAGATCTGGGTCGGCGAAAAATCGCATCATTGTCTGTCGCTGTGCGACGTCGCTACTTCCAGGTTAATCGCATGGTTACGGTTGTCGCTGATGATGACCATCAGAGAGCGCAAGGATGCGAAGAGTTTCAAATATCAGACATCGATTTTAAATCATTCCCTCGGGTTGACTGTCTTACTGCAAGAATTACTAGATTATATGCACAGGAAAAAGCTAATGCCGAAACAGCTCCTTTTCGACCCTCACTCCCTAGTCGAGTGTTCAGGCGTCAGCTGAGAAAGGATGAGCAAATTGCTGAAATGCCGGCTAGGATTAAGTCGTCTATTAGACACAAAACATAAATAAGATCGCACCTCGTCGACTGTGGTGAGCGGAAGGCACGGAATGGATGATTTTAGGAAGCACTGAGAACAATTGATAGCAAGAGTGAGGAACGAGGAATCGAGAGAATCGAGGATAACTTCGGGGGTGCTTGCTGGGAGTTGTTTGTGGTGGTGGTTGGTTGAGGGCAGCTCCGGGCACCTAGAGATTATCGGCTTTCGCGAAGTGTCCCAGGGGGCTCAGGATTAGGTTTGGAAATTGTCAGCATTTGAATCTCTTTTCGTCACATACTGTAACATGTATGCTTCTTTCGTGCTGCTTCCTCGCCCCTACACCGCGACGTTTGCGAGGATTTCGCGTATCGTTGTGCTGGTACGGAACTGCGCTGGGGGCAAGTGTGGTTGGTTGGTCCCTTGAAGCAAGACCCAAGGATGTCCTTCTTTCACACCCAGCTAAACGACAAACAATAGTGCTGTGACTTGGTGAAGTGGCGCAAAGCTGAAACTTGTGGCTCGCAAACTGCAGAAGCACAAGCATGGAGATGCCTGCGGAACCTGGCTGGTTTGGTAGCAACTTCCTCCCGATGTGATTCGTGGGTAATGCCATACCTGTCAATATTAGGTTCGGGGATGCAGTTAGGCAGTTTTACAGGACATCCGACCATGAGCACGTCGCTTAGGTTCGGTTTTTTTTTTTTTTTTTTTTTTTTTTTTGGGCTTTAAGGAGATCCCCGGAGGAAACCAACCCCCCGTCGCTTAGGTTCGGCTGGTGCCCTTGGTTAAAGCGACGGTGCACATTTGCCACCCAAAACCCAGAACCCTGGCGAACTGTTACTGCGGATGGAAAGTGTCCGCACGAAATCCTGGTTTTCGCCAGCCAGCACTTTCGCGCTGGCAAGCCTGGTTCAAAAAAAAAAACTTCTGAACCCAACACTGCCAAAAGTTGCCCGTCGCTTTAAAGTTGTACACAGCAACACCCTCTCAAGGGATGGCACAAAGAAAGTTAAGCCAACTAACAATAGAGTGTATGATTTTTGGCTTTGCAAGTGTAATATACTTTGAGCACGGCGTTACCGAGAGTGACTATATTGGTATCTACACAGAAGTACTCCTGGAACCTTGGTTCCTCCATAATCCATACTAGTTGATGCATTATCAGTCTACTGCTGCTGGCTCACATCATTAAAGACATTAAATTCAGGCGCACTCCTTGCTAGATTCACACGATGATAGCTCTTACATGTGCTTGAAGCTAGAAGCATCAGTATCACGCCTCCTCGGTTCGCCTTTATAACCCCCTGTTTCCTGCAATCATAGCCGTCCGTTGCCACAGTGACATCTTCCATTCATTCATATCAGATTTCTCCTCATCGCCTTTCTTCACCTGCGGCTCGTCAGACCGGCTCACGTAGCTCGCCATTTACGCGAGGTCCCGCTTGTCCACGATAGTTCACGACAGGTCGCGACAGTTCGCAACTGCTCGCCACATTTCGCTAAAGTTCACCGTTGTTCGCCACTATCTCGCCATGGATCCGAGCCCCATCCACGCTCAGGTTCAGCAGTTAATCTCGCGAGCACTTACCGGGATTCCTCCCCTCCCCGCATCCCACGGTGCCCCCGCAAATACTCAAGGCATTGATCCCAATCGCGTCCCTTTGAAGCCGCTCCCTCAGGCTCTTGCGAACGCGGGAAACCCTAACGTGTGCAAGATCTGCCACGTGGACATTTTAGGAGGGCCTAAGTTCCGGATCTGCCTCTCCTGTGGCGCTCCGTCGCATCTATACCCCGCGACTCGGTCGCCCCTGGATGCGACTTTAAGTTCTGAAAGGTCGAGCCGGCAGAGCGCGGGGAGTGGCGATACCAGGAGTAGTGATGTTAGCCAGGGTAGCTCGATCACCGGCTCTTTACCGGGGACGAGTGTATCGGGGACGCTTAATGCGAGTAACGACAAGAGCGGCTTATGGCGAAACACCCGGATCGAGCGGCGGTATTTGATGTCCCTTGAGTTCAAGCCGCAAGACGACAAGGTACTTATGCGTTTTCCGAGAGAGAGAGAGAGAGAGAGAGAGAGAGAGAGAGAGAGAGAGAGAGAGAGAGAGAGAGAGAGAGAGAGAGAGAGAGTGCGTGCGTGCGTGCGTGCGTGCGTGCGTGCGTGTGTGTGTGCGTGTGTGTGTGTGTATCTGCTGATGTCCCTTGAGGTGTATTTTGAGGCGCCTCAAAATACACCTCAATGCACGCGGATTTCATACGGAGAGGATTATTACAGCTTGGAAGTGTTCGTGTAACTTGCAAAAGTTACTGGTGCGCGCGCGGTTACATCAACGAATTGGTTGACGAAGATCTTCTCGAGGGCTGACTTTGCACCCTGGGTGTACCCCATTTGCTTAGCTGGCCGAGTGACTTGTCACTCTGGGTAGTTGGTTGTACATTTGTAGATCTCGAGGGCAGTTGCTAGCTACTTAGCCTGCTTCTGTCCGAACTCTTTCTTTTGTGGATCTGGTAGCTTACTGATGAAGGCTTAGCGGGTTGGAGACCCGTGAGCCGAAACTAGTTTGAGCTGTAAAGATTCTCGTTAGTAAAGGGTTTCTAAGGTTTCTACTGATCGTTTTTCCAAGATTTCTGTTTCGTTTCCTTTTGTTGCTTTAAGCGTCACTCTTTAGAATTGCTGCTCTTCCACTATGAGCGAAGACCCTTGGGACATTGAATGGTTTCCAACTGAAGAGGAAGACGCCGATTCTGAAGAACGCAACTCGTTGAAAAGGCAGCGTAGGAGTGGAAACAAGTCACGTTCTGCTCGAAAGGCTTCCGGGCAGCGGCAGACCGGCAACAAATTCCCGCAACTGGCGCTAACCTACGAACTGATTCTACGAAGTGAGCAACCACGTGATCCTCCCGCTGGACCGTCGCGAATTCGTCCTACCGTCATGGCGGAACCCACTGACGCGACCCCCATCCAAGAACCTTTCAAGGGATGGCTTGCGACTGCAGTGAAGGATTTCCGGGACGATTTCAGGACTCTGCTTAAGGCGAAATCTAAGCTGAAGAAGATGAAGGAACTCGACGCTGAAGGAACAATTCTGCACAGCATCCGTACCAAAGCGGTCGATTTCCAGACGAAGATTGACTCTGTCAAGGAGAAATCCAAGGCGTCCGTTGCTGAGATCCATTTGGCGAATCAGAAGCGGATTCAGGCAGAGTTTATCGTCTCGAAAGCACTGGAGGTTGAGGAGATCGCGAAGATGGCTAACTCGCGTGTCACGACTCTGGCTACAAGGATGGAGGATTACATACAGGGGCTGAACGCGGATCCTGATTTGGTGGTGTCTGACGCTGCCAAGGAGAAATTTCGTTTACTCAAGGGACGCTGCATCGAGAAAGCCCAATCCGACATCGCTGCTGCCAAGGATGATCTTACCATCCGGGAGTTGGAAAGACAGCGTAAGATAGCTGCTGAGGATTTGAAGAAAGCTGTTGCGTCTGAGGAGGTGCAGGAGATGGAGTTAGAACCTGCGTTAGAGGAGATTCTCGCGAAGCAGGTTAAGAAGATTGAAGACAAACTTCGCAAGGAAATCACTGCGAAGGTTGAGGCCAGTCTTACGAAGAAGCTGCAGAAGAATCTCCCTCTTAAGGAGCAAGACCCTGCGCAGGCCGCTGCTGCTAATCCGAAGCAGAGGAGTACGGCGGGAAAGCAGAAAAGTCAGGAGAATGGCAACGCTGCACCTGCTGGATCCAAGCCGAGGAGGAAGCGTGGTGGGAAGAAAAAGAATCAGAAGCAGAATTCCAGCACCGACAAAGGCAAGCAGGCGGGAGGCCAAGTCAAATCTGATACGGCCAAGGGACCAAAAAACGGCGGAGGCGGCCCCGAAAAAGGGCCGCGCAAGAAGAACTAACCAGCCATGAGCTGGCCCTCCGTTGGTTTGGACGGCTGACGCCTCGACAAGCTGCGTTGCGCGTCCGTAACCGCGGAGTTCACAACCTCAGCGCCAAAATCTTATCTTCGGATGAGAAGACAGCGTTGGGGTTGGGATTGAAGTTCATCCCCACGCCCACCGTTTCCCTTTCGGCCGGAATTGAGCTTGATCAGCTTTTCCGGCAGATCTCGTTACATTTTTTCTTCAAGGATGCGGACGGTCCACCTAGGGATTCACGGTTTCGTGTGCGTAACCCGACGTGGCTGCCCGATCGGATGGTGATTCCGGAGCAGGTCTTCAAGGACTCGTCCTCTGACTTGTCCGTCTTGTTGAAGGCATCTCGGCCTGACCGACGTCGGAATCTTGCAGCTGGCGTTAGGAAGGCTTTGCGCACCATCGCTGCGGATCGAGACGTGGTGATTAAACCGGCTGACAAGAATGTTGGGATTACGGTGATGGACCGGGGACATTACATTCGGTTGTGCGTGGAGCACCTAGGTGACAACACGACTTACTCCCTGGTCTCTCACAATCCTACCGCTGAAGTCTACCGGAAGCTGCGTGAACTGCATAGCGTTTGGGGCCCTGCTTTTCCCGAAACTTTGTGGAAGTACTTTTTCAATCAGCCGCCTGGAGGATGGAAACCCGCGGCTTTCTACATTTTGCCGAAGCTGCATAAGAAGGATCTCGTGGGACGCCCGATCGCCGCCTCACACTCATGGGTGACTTCTAACGTTAGCCGTTGGCTCGATGCTGAATTACGACCGTGGGTTTTGCAGCAGCAGACATACCTCCGCGATTCCCTCTCGCTACTCTTGAAGCTGGAAGATGTTGAGATAGTAAGCAGTATAGTTAGGAGCCATAGCTAGGTAAGTCCTAGCTAGGCAAGAGAGAATAAGCAAAGGGAGGGGTGTTCACTAGAAAGCAGCAGGATACATATAGGAAACCCTAAGGGGTTGTACTCGCTATAGAGTACCCCACTGCAGGCTAGAGAACAATAACATTCTGACAGAAGAGACCGCCTTCCCGAAAGGGATCTTCTTAGCCACCTACGACGTTACTGCTCTCTACCTCAGTATCCCATTAAGGAGAGGTATCGACGCAGTGAGTAGCATTCTTCAGAGTGGGAAATATCATAATCACCTCCCGGTCATTGCCCTGCTGGAGTGGGTGATGATGAACTCGATTGTTGAGTTCGACGGCCAATTGTACCTGCAGCGACAAGGGACTGCTATGGGAATTCCTGCAGCAGTATGTTTCGCGGTGCTGTTCATGAGCCGTTTGGACGAGGTGCTGAGACGCAGGTGGTCCGGGACGCAGCCGTTGTGCCACGTGAGATACATCGACGATGGCTTCATTGTTTGGCCAGGTTCTCGGAACGAGTTGGAGTGTTACTTCAGTACCTTCAACGAATTGGATCCCAACATCAAGTTGACGTGGCACATCTCGGACTCCTCGGCAGACTTTCTTGACATGGTCATCTTCAAAGGACCACGTTTTGCCGAGAAGGGTAACTTGGATCTGAAGACTTTTCAGAAACCCATGAACAGTTACTTGTACCTGCCGTTTTCTTCATACCACCCGCGACACTGCAAGGTCAGCTTCATCCGTGCAGAACTGAAGCGTTACTTACTACGTTCGACCTCTGCCAAAGCTTTTCTAGCCTCTAAGCACGCGTTTTTCCAACGGCTTAGAAGTCGCGGATATCCTGGAGACTTCCTTCTACCCATCTTTCGGAGTGTGTTTTTTCGAAACCGCCCTTTCCTTTTGGAGACCACTGCTGCGCGCCAAGCTCTCAAGCTCAACTCTCTCCCCCAACGCGGACCCCTAGTCTTGAAGACTCTGTTCACCCCGGTGACAGCCCGTCTCAGGCTGGGGGTCCTTTTGAGGCGCCTCAAAATACACCTCAATGCACGCGGATTTCATACGGAGAGGATTATTACAGCTTGGAAGTGTTCGTGTAACTTGCAAAAGTTACTGGTGCGCGCGCGGTTACATCAACGAATTGGTTGACGAAGATCTTCTCGAGGGCTGACTTTGCACCCTGGGTGTACCCCATTTGCTTAGCTGGCCGAGTGACTTGTCACTCTGGGTAGTTGGTTGTACATTTGTAGATCTCGAGGGCAGTTGCTAGCTACTTAGCCTGCTTCTGTCCGAACTCTTTCTTTTGTGGATCTGGTTGCTTACTGATGAAGGCTTAGCGGGTTGGAGACCCGTGAGCCGAAACTAGTTTGAGCTGTAAAGATTCTCGTTAGTAAAGGGTTTCTAAGGTTTCTACTGATTGTTTTTCCAGGAAAGAATTTCTGTTTCGTTTCCTTTTGTTGCTTTAAGCGTCACTCTTTAGAATTGCTGCTCTTCCACTATGAGCGAAGACCCTTGTGTGTGCGTGTGTGTGTGTGTATCTGCTGATGTCCCTTGAGTTCAAGCCGCAAGACGACAAAGTACGTTACCGTTTCCGAATTTGTGTTGACGCTGAGTCGACTGATTAGGTAACAAGTTATTTTATCATTCCTTAAAACCGGTATCAACGCGCCTCCCTCCCTCTCCATTTCCCTCGGTCTATCTGCCTCTCTTCTCTTCCCTTTTCTCCCGTCCCTCAGCGCCGGAAATCGCTTTTGAGAATTCTCAAAAGCTTCTCAAAAGAGAATTCTCGGAAGTGATTTTCGCGCCTCCCTCTACATTTCCCGCATTCTATCTGCCTCTCCTTTCTTCCCTTTTTTCCCGTCCCTCAGCGCCGCCGCTCCTCCCCCAGTTGACTTTTGAGTCGACTCAAAAGTCAACTCTCCTTTCTTCCCTTTTCTCCCGTCCTTCAGCGCCGCCGCTCCCCCCACACGCAGCCCTACGAGCTCACGGAAATCCTATCATTCCTCTGATTTCAACTCTTTGATTCTTCTGTTTCCATCCCGCTCCCTCCCTCAGCGCCGCCGCTCCTCCTCTACCCAGCCCTCGGAGCGCACTCTCGCGGAAACCCTAGCCGACACCAACGCGCCTCCCCCAGATGCCACCTCCACCCGAGGCAGCACCGGTGCTCGAGGCAGCACTGGCAGCATTGGGCGCACCTCGAATGCCTCAGGTGTCACCTCCGCCCGCGGCAGCACGGGTGCGCCTCCCTCAGGTGCCACCTCCACCCGAGGCAGCACCAGCTCCACTGCTTCGTCTGGTGCTGCTGCTGCTGGTGGTGGTGGTGGTGCTGGTGGTGTGGGAGCAGGTGCAGGGGCAAAGCTAGCAGCAGGAACAGCAGGAGGCAGAGCAGGATCAGATGCAACCACTACAGCGGCAACCGCCACAGCATCAGCAGCAGCAGCAGCGCCAGCAGCAGCGGTGCCGTCTGCTCCTTCTCAGGCTCCTGACTTCATCCCTGACGATTTCTTTGCTGCCCCATCCTCCACTGCCTCTGCCACTTCAATGTCAGAGTTATATGACATAGCTACTGTAGGCTATAGTGGGGTAGCACATATGGGGTACAGTTGCCTAGGGTTTGCCTTTTGTACCCAACTTTCACTTAGTCATTTCATTCCTGTTTTCTTGATTCACATGGTATCAGAGCGGGTTCCTACATGGGACCGTTCCTTCCTAAGGGCCCACCATAAGAATTTTTTTTTTTAGCTGCCCGCGCACATTGCGCCCTGCCCTAAATTTTTTTTTTTAGCGGCCCCTACGCTGCCCCTACGCGGCCCCTACGCCGCCTCCCACGCGCCCCCTATGCGGCCCCTGGCGGCGCCCTGACGAGGCCCCTGCCGGCGCCCTAACGCGGCCCCTGACGCGCCCCCTGGTGGCGCCCTGACGCGGCCCTGACGCGGCCTGACGCGGCCCCTGGCGGCGCCCTGACGCGGCCCTGCCGCGGCCCCTGACGCGGCCCTGACGCGGCCTGCCGCGGCCCCTGCCGCGGCCCTGAAGCGGCCCCTGACGCGGCTCTGCCGCGGCCCTGACGCGGCCCTGACGCGGCCCTGCCGCGGCCCCTGGCGGCGCCCTGACGCGGCCCCTGACGCGGCGCCCTGACGCGGCCCCTGATGCGGCCCTAACGCGGCCCTGCCGCGGCCCCTGACGCGGCCCTGACGCGGCCTGCTACGGCCCCTGCCGCGGCCCTGAAGCGGCCCCTGACGCGGCCCTGACGCGGCTCTGCCGCGGCCCTGACGCGGCCCTGACGCGGCCCCTGACGCGGCCCCTGCCGCGGCCCCTTTCGCGGCCCTGACACGGCCCTGCCGCGGCCCCTGGCGGCGCCCTGACGCGGCCCCTGACGCGGCGCCCTGACGCGGCCCTGCCGCGGCCCCTGACGCGGCCCCTGCCGCGGCCCCTGACGCGGCCCCTGTCGCGGCCCCTGACGCGGCCCCGCCACCTACCTTTCCGGCCACGCCGCCTCCTCTCAGCGGCCCCGCCGCCTCCTCCCAGCGGCCCCGGACGCCGCCCTCTCAGCGGCCCCGCCGAGCCGCCCAGCAGCCTAGCCGCCCAGCAGCTGAGCCACCGAGCCGCCCAGCAGCCGAGCCGCCTAGCCGCCCAGCAGCCGAGCCGCCCAGCAGCAGAGCCGCCGAGCCGCCCAGCAGCCGAGCCGCTGAGCCGCCCAGCCGCCGAGCCGCCCAGCAGCCGAGCCGCCCAGCAGCCGAGTCGCCGAGCCGCCCTGCAGCCGAGCCGCCCTGCAGCCGAGCCGCCCGAGCCGCCCTGTCCGGTAAGAGCAGCGCCTCTCTCACAGCACTGCCCTCACCCCACTGTTTGCGCTGCTAGTCTACTGCTGTCATGGCTACCCCTAGTGTCCTCGCTTTTGACGCTGAGGGTCGGGCCATTAACTTTGACGTCTGGATAGATGACCTGCAGCTTTTCTTACAGTGCGATAGGGCAGACGGCCTCTCCCTCTTTGACCTCACTTCTGGTGCCTCTCCTGCCCCCGCCACTGATGCTGACGCAACTGTTCGCTCCCAGTGGGCCACGCGCGATGCTGCTGCACGTCTTGCTGTGCGTCGCCACCTGCCTACCTCTGAGCGTGC